CACAAGCTGATATAAAGCTAGTCAAAGTATTCATATCACCATCATAATTAGGTATCGTATCAACAAACATTTTCAACATGCTCAGGGTAACTGTTGGGTTTACCGTTTGAGCAGGCAGAGTTGAATTTGAAGTATTAGTCTCCATGATTTCAGATATGGAATCAGAAACGTTTGAATAATTGTTGAAGCTTTCTATTAACTCGTCTATATTTGGTTGATTATTATTCATAACATTTCTCTAAAACTATTAATTGTTCAATTAAAATTAAACAATTGCAATTTTTCCAAACAGGGAAAAATAATTCGGAAAGGAAAGAAAGGATACTTGGACCCACCAATGTATTTTATTCTTCCGGTGATTCTGTTACCAGCTTATCTGCTTTGTTTGAAATGTCTGGACTCCTCCTTAGGCCCTCAGGTTAACTCAATCCCTTTTTGGTGCACAGGAACGAAGAAAGTCACTAAAAATCTCGATAAGTGCCGAAGAGTGAAAACCCACGTTTTTCTACTCCGAAATTGGTTTCGATGCTGTGTATTTCCGACGAAAAAACTGCACTTATCCTACCGACTGCACCAGTTACGTATGCGATATACGAAAATACTTTTTTAAAAAACTTCATTTTGAATAAATACAACGTTACAGTTCAGGCAAAGTAACAAGAATACATGATTAGCGGTTTTGTCGACTTAGCATGTAGTCTCGTCTGGAACAGCGGATGTAACTCTATCCCTGAGTGATGCTCGGTCCAATATGCTTTCCAGATAGATCCCTAGTGCGAAATGGGGTAAATCTGTTGTTTGGGATACATTGTGTGAGTACATTAGCAACTTGCCATCTTCCTGCTACTTCTGCAAAAGCCGGTGCTGCTGCCTCTTTAGAAGAAAGTTCCAAACTACGGAAATATCAGAATTTGGAAAATGATTATATCTTTCGCCCAATAGCTGTTGAAACTTTTGGTGTTTTTGGCTCTGAAGCCTTATCTTTCATCAATGAAATTGGAAAAAAGGTAATCAATGAAACCCACGAATCGATAGCCACATTTTTATTCACAAAAACCACAATTAGTATAGCCATTCAAAGAGGATATGCGGCTTTTCTTTCGATTCTCTTCCTGATTGTAAAAAACTTGATGAATTTTACATGTTTCCTGAAAACAAACTTTATGAAGAAAAGAGAGGTAATAACAAACCACTGTGTGGAATCAAAACAAAAGCAAATGGAAAAAATACTTTCTCTCAGCAAAATCCTGAAATGGGATTCGAGGACATTTCGAATTGTCCAGTAATAAATTCTTCAGTCAAAACCCTTGGGTTGAATGGGTTGAAAAATATTGGTAACACCTGTTTCATGAACAGCGTAATCCAATGTTTATCAAATACGAGATGGTTATTGGAATATTTGAAGAAGGATGAATTCATGAAAGATATCAATACTAGTATTTCTAGTACGGGGGGTGCTTTAATCAAATCGTTTGCAGAAGTCATCAAGGGGTTGTGGGCAGAAGATTCATTTGATAGAGTAGTAAATACAGCCTCCTTAAAAAATCAGATTCAAAGTTTTGCTCCTCGACTCATGGGTAATTCCCATCAAGACGCCCAGGAGTTTCTTTGTTATCTTTAAGGTTTACATGAAGAATATAATTAATGAGAAATCTAAACCAATCTTAACGGAGATTGACGAAAAATTGAACGACAACGAAAATGTACAAGAGCCATGGCTCACATATTTGAGGATGCATAACTCTAAGATTGTAGATAATTTCATTGGTCAATTGAAATCCACGATAAAATGCACACACTGTGGACACTCATCAGTAACCTTTGATCCTTTCTGTCTTTTTGTCTCTCTTCATACCACAAAGAACCGACCAATTGAATTTGTAGCAATGCTTGGATTCGTTTACAAGAGAAGAAACTTTGGATGGAAATGAAAAACCTACGTGTTCGAATTGCAAGTAAAGGAGAAAATGCACCTATAAATCCACAAGTTTTCCCATATTTTAGTAATTCAGATAAAAAGATTATCTTATGGAAAGATTTAGAGGCAAATTGAATGATGTTATCGAATTTCCTCTGGAAGGATTGGATATGGACAATTTTGCAGCAGAAAATGTGGTTACTTGTTGTTATAATATATATGCACTTTTAAATCACAGTGGGACTACTTACAGATGGAATTATACAGCATATTGCTGGACACCCGTAAACTGGCGCGTAGCAGAAATACACCAATTTCACCAAAATCGCTCGTGAGTGGAGAAGCATACGTCCTCTTTTATGAAAAGGATGGAACAAAATCGCACTTTTGAGATAACTGAGGGAAAGTTTCTTTGTGCAATTATTATTTAATTGTTGTTAAGTTCAAACAAAGTGAGAGTTGTATTATTGATTATTGAATATATTTAAATATACTATAGCCTGTATTGAAAAAAAGACGATGCACTAGAATATTCAACGCAGCACGTTTGTACTGTCCATACTGATGTGAACTGTCAGCTGAGACAGTGATGTAAACTGCTGCTGACAAGGGTCGATTACTATCTAGTTTTTCAGTTTTTTCTTCCCCTTACCAGTGATGGTAATATTCAGCAAATATTCCTACACATAATTTTTAAGATTTAGAAATGATTTAAGGTGGATTTTCTTATCAATATAATTTACTTATGATGCACTGTTTGGAACCTTTGGTGTAGTAATGAATATTACTGGAGTTTTTTCCCAACACCAAATCGTTATTTTCAACACCTCGACACGTGTTTCGATAACCAAGTGGTCATCTTCAAAGAGGAAGATTAAAACTCTTTTTTATCTTCCTCTTCAAAGAGGAAGTTTTAATCTTCCTCTTTGAACACTTGGTGATCGAAACACGTGTCAAGGTGTTAGAAATAACGATTTGGTGTTGGGAAAAAACTCCAGTAATATTCAATACAATTTACATTTTGATTCTCTCAGGCGACAAACGTTCGAAATAAAAAATGGATTGACATACATGTCAGTTGAAGTACCCCCACTGTTTCGACTTGATTTGTAATAAAATAACAAGTTTCATATGAAAACGTATCAGAATATTGGAACAAATCGCAAGGGATTTCATTCGTATTCGTTTTATTGTGAACATGCATCGACATATATTACGCAAAGGAATATAGTTTCACAAATTCACTGTCACGTTTTTCACGGCTGTTGGCGACATCCTTCTCTCCGAATATAAACATTCCATGAATATGAACACATATTTCATTACACATGGAATCCAGGGAATATTTCATCATGCGAACGAAAATAAATGGAATTCGTGAAGTCTTTTCAGAAGTACAACGACAATATTTTGGTAGCAAAAATGTATGTGACTTTCTGGAACTTCAACAAGCGTTTCCTAATATGACTGATAACCAGTCCGTACAAAGTTTATTGTTAAATCATCTGAAAATAAAACTTTTTACGGGTGATGGTCAACTGTATTGCCAAATATGCGCCAAATTAACTGACTATTATAAGACAACAAGTATAGCTGTGGCATCAGTCGATCTAATAATAACACTGATGATCTTCAAACATTGCTCAACCTCTGACGGAAGCACCAACCTCTTACAAAGGTTCGAAATAGATGAACAATTCAATCTAGCAGACCACTATTATAATCTTCATGCAGTCATTGTTCACTGTGTTTCTGGCGTTGAATCTAGTTTGACGATAGACGTGTCATTAAATATTCTGGCAATATATTGAATTTATTGAAGCCTCTGAAGACATGCTACATCTTATTCTATGAAAGAAAGGATATTGGCAGATGAAGATCTTCAGATGATGTGGTGCTGCAGGTTTTTTAGGATTTTTCTGCAGCCGAAAAAGCAAATGCGCCACTGGAATCAATCAAGTCACCCCGTAGCGCCATTTAATTTTTGTTTCATAATTTGTATTACCTTCTTTTTTTCAATAAAAACATGTCACTTTTATATGAAAATTGAATTATACAAAAAACACAATTCTATAACATTCGTTTTGGAATTGAATCAGATATCATTCACATGATTGCTACATAATACAGCTTGAAAGAGGTGAAATTTCACTAACATGGAAACCGTCATCCTCAATGACGGACAGCTGACGTTTCGGAATAGGACATTTGCCTTATTGCCTTCAGCACCAATGTAGATAACATTACAAAATAAAATAAAATAAGAAATAATAAAATTACTACTGTTTGTCACGAATGACTTAAATCGACTCATCTCATTGATGACAGTACGTAATGACAATCATTCGCTTATTTGATGTAATCCCAGCCCAAGAATGGGTTATATTATTAAGGAGACACCCATTTTTCGGAAAGAAAGATTCATGCTTTCTACTTTTTCATCTTTATATAAAAAAATGTGGAAATCTTCCATATTGGGTAGCAAATCTGTGATTAATATATAATTCAATTGCATAACAAATGTTTGGGAGTGAATACTGAATAGGAAAAAATGTTTTTTGTATATGTAGAGGAATGTTTTTCGTATAATTCAATGTTTATATGAAAGTAGTTTTTTCGGGAGAGTTTTTCTTTCAGTTTTGCAAGCTCAAGAAATGTGCAATTAGTGGAAATTTTTTATCCGACGAATCATTATTATTATTTCATGAGATGGCAAAACACATCTCTCAATTCTTTTGATAATAATTAAGTTGGCCGGTACTTCCAATATCGAAAAATATTGAACTAAAAATGGCATTGAATAAATGATTCAGTGGTTCTGAAATATATTCACCGTTAGTTATTTTATCAATACGTGGTGATTTATGAGGTTACAATGATTTTATGACATCCCGATTGTCATCTCGGGTAGTTTCTTCAATGAAGAATTTGAACAATTTGATAATGTTGTGTATTTTTGATGTTTTTTTGTAACGTATTTCAAAAACATTTTATTTTGAGATTTTCACTAAACATGTGAAAATCTCACAATAAAGTGGGTTTTGAGTACGTTAGTTATGGATTTTCATCAGGTATCGAACAATTCCTTCATATGTTTTTTTTATTTTTTCCATACATTCATTTGACACTAAAAAAATTGAAAGTATACAAATTTCTGTACTTGTACTTCTCAACTTATAATTATACTGATTCATATATCGAAAGTCATTTTTCAAATTATAATCCTCAAATGATCAAATTTCAATATTTTGAGTGATAATTTCGTGGAGCACCCCATTATGAACATTTATTTGTTTCTATAATCTAGATATGATCAGCTTCTCCTCACAAGTGTTTCCGAAACGTTGCCGAAAGATGCAACACATAACTGTAATTTTTCCTGTGCTGTATGAGTTTCCTTGTGGGGTGGACAGGAGATTCTGAAACAAATAAAAAACGAATAATTTAAACGAAAACAATTCGATTTTTAAAAAGAATCTTATGAGACATGTTGTCCATGAAAAAATATGTGAAAAATTCACTCATAAATATCCATATTTGACAATCCAATGGAATGAATAGTAATAATTTAAAGAATATTTGTCCAAAGTCTCTCCACTTTTGCAAAAAACTCGAGAACAGTAGGATTCTCAGATCACACATTGGGCATGCGCGAATAGGCCAAAAAAATAGTTAAAAGTATAAGCAAAAGTAATCTCCACATTCTTTCCTTTCGAGCAATTAGGCAATTTATTCAAATTTTCAGATTTCTATTCTGTACTATCTATTGCCCGAAATTTTGCTCGAATTTACTTCAGTTTTGTGGTCTTCTTAGATTTCCTATCAGCAAAATATTCTCATGTATTTGCCTACTTGACATGTAGAAAATAGAGCCCTGAGAAATATACTAAAACTATGTACTAGAAGGTGGGGTATAGGATCGAGTAAAGGAAGTCACCAAAGGTCTCTCTTTTACATTTTTTGTGAATAGCTCTAAAACCACAACATCTAGCGTCGAAATGTTCATATAGTGATTTAATTTGCGTATAATTATCTACAAAAAAGTTTCATACACTTCTTCTTTAGGATCAGTGACATGATTCTTCAAATTGGCATTGCATTTTTTCATGAATCGTTTGGAATAAATCAAACACTAAATGTTTACTACAGTCAAATAGTGCGGTTTTGGGCAGGTAGCCAGATTTTATTATTGTTTATGCCTTTATCATTTCCATTGTACCTATCTTTGTGTTCATAAATTTATATCGTATCTCAGGGTAAATGTATATTTATCATCAATAAATTGTTTTAATATTGCAATTCATGATTCTGGAATCTGACATTTTTGTGAGATAATTCTCGGCTAGGGTTTGGGATGACGTATAACGAAATCTTGCCCAGGGCGACAAACTACGAAACGGCTCTGTACTACGGTATCAAATAAAGTGATAATATCGTTGTCAACATCAGCTATTTGTTATCGTTTTCGATCACAGAAAAAGGTCTGAGTGTATTTACAATCTGACAGTTTTCTTCAGCTTCTTGTTGAAGAGCCTTCCCTCTAAGTACACAGGTCGCATCGTTCACCTTTTTCATCGACACCACGGCGACGTCTGCATGAATTAAATTTTAAATTTATAATCATATAAGTTCAATATAATTCTGAAAATTTATATTTTTCCAGATGCTTACGATAACTTTTGAGTTACACCAAATCAAACCAAGGAAGGAAGTAGACATGAAGAAATCAATAAAACAAAAGTTGATTAATTCTGAAAATATATATTTTTCCAGATGCTTACGATAACTTTTGAGTTACACCAAATCAAACCAAGGAAGGAAGTAGACATGAAGCGATCAATTAAACAAAAGTTGATTAGTTCATATGTGAATAAATTAAATCATGAGATTAGTTCTGAAATGTATTTTATGCATTTCTGCAAAATGTATTTTCAAAGTTAATAATAACATATTTTTGCCAATGGTTTACATTTTTATCATCGTTGCTTGGTTCATTGATCCAGGATAAAAAATGTTTTTATACCATCGACTGACCACATCAAAAAAGCGTTCACTATTAATTTTTCACTCCTCAAATATGTACCTATATCATTGAAATTTATTACGTATTTTCATATATCATTTCTAGTAGGTCCAGTACTACTCCCACATAAAATAAGTATTCGTCAAAACGAGTTCTTAATGGTTTTGTATACAATGAGATGTCACCAGCACCTTTTAAAATATCATCAAAGTAAGCGGAGATGTAAAATAACTTCAGTAATCATACAATTCATCATCGACATCTGTTACACCAACCCAACTATTTCTTCTTGGTTAACAAGCGTTACTGACGAGTTGCTGCCAACTTACAATTTCGTCTGGTTACCGATCTATACGCTCCATTGAACAACAGGTTTATATACTTTCTTAGAAGTCCATAATGAATCTTTTGAATTTTATGTTAGATATTGATATAATCTCCGATAGCCGTGATCGTCTAGTGGTTAGGACCCCACGTTGTGGCCGTGGTAACCCAGGTTCGAATCCTGGTCACGGCAGGAGTACTTTTTTATTACCTATTACTATTTGTTAATTATATTTTTGAATTCATTCAAATTTGAAATCAGAACCTAAAAACGAAGTTTTCATGATCAGTGGTGCTAGGCTGAACCACGAATGTTTGGCTGAATTCAACTGTTCTCGAAGGACAACCCTGAAAAGTAAGGACAATGACTTCCACCTTCACGAATTCGTCATCTATGGAATCAACTGAAGACTAAATTCACGAATATTCCAAAGAGGACGATATTCGTCCTCTTTGCAGCTTTTACTTTCACTCTTTCAACCAGTCGCTTTGCTTCGGTGAAAGCTGAAGTGAAAGACAACTCTTGTTCAGTGATTGATATCGAAGTTTGGTTTTGCAACGGATCACCTTAGTAAGCCTCGTTTTTATCTTTTATATCATTGTCTAGAACATCGGTGGGACGGTAGCCGGTTGGGTTGACGTGGGTGGTTTGCTCCACTCCCTCAATCGACCGCTGTGTAAAACGGTAGTTCAAGCCGCGAGGCCGGACGATCGATTTTCACTTTCTATCTTCCAACTCGTGCTAGGAATCACACGTTAAAAGATAAGATCTCGTTAGTCCTTGGTTCGCGCAAGTTTCGACTTTTGAGAGTAGTCGTTCGTAGTGGAGCGACAGCTGGTTAACCGAAAAACAGATTCCGAACAGACAAATCAGATCTTTGACTTTTAGTCATGGTAAGACCAATTGGTGCAGTACCGTTATCATGTTTGGGCTCTCCAATTTGCGATACAATAGAACATTGCGTGATGAAAAGAAATACCATCGGACTCAAACTTTGGCAATAACATCATGCCTGGATTCTTATTGCTGATAAGTTTTTCAACTTCTATTACTGAAACATCTTCGAATCTGCTTTGTTTTTCTTCTCGCTTTTTCCTATGTCATGCTCTGTAGGTCAGGTCCAAATTGATGTGTCTTCACAGATTTCCAGCCACAGATTCGTTACCAAAATCCATTTTCATTCCCATCGACCACCGTACGTTCATCTACCGTTTGTGTTCGTCTTCTTCTCTGTGTCGATGATCGTTTCGTATCGGGGTTCTGCATCTTTTCTCACAGCCTTTGACTTGAATATGAACGCTATTTCAAATCTAGAATAACCATTTATGTAGAAGTGAGGTAATATGCTTCAGGTGATCATAATTGAAGAGGTACTACAGGTAGAGGTTTAGGTAATTTGTTGGAGTTAGTCTCAATTATGGTTACCTATATTATATAAATATTAGTGTAAGAAGCAACGTGTAGTATTCAAATCACTGTTGACAAAGCTACTGTGTTAGCGAAATAAGTTTGTGGAGATCAAATCGTGAGGTATATATAGTTTATGAAATTACTATGGATCTTCATCAAGTAATGGCCGCATCAATCAGAAAACCAAAGATAAAACTCGACACACTCTAAGAGGAGGCTCGTAATAATATAATCAATAGAATAGATTAGTTTATTGGCTACGTGATACATATGTACAAATATTTGTAACAAGTTAAAAAAAAATTATAAATATATTGTTATATCGTTTCTCTCAGTCACACGAATATACCCACCAAGAAGACCAACACACGAAGAAAAGAAGACCCATGGATAACACAGGACAACACAGAACAAACCAATAGCAACACCACAATAACTACAAACTTGGACTAAGATAACACAAACACTAACCCAATAACCTCAATCACTATGTACAAGTAAACTCACAAATCAACACAGCACCTGAAGAGGCACGAGCCTAAAGCAGGACACCAAAGAATGTAAATATGTATAAAAATATGTAACAAACCGAAAGAGATAATAAACGTATTTGACTTGACAAATAATATGCAAATATCACAATGTTTTTATAGCAGAACAATGTTAACAATAACAAATACAATCAAACAACTAATGTTAAAAATGAGAATAATCTTTACTCCCAGTCACACGAATTATCTATGTTATATAACATATATTCATCTGTGGAATGAAAACAATTATTCAAAAAAAATTTATACCATGTGACTATGGAAGACTCTGAAGTAAGAAGAATTGACAGCTCTGATACCGGCGAATTCCTTTAGTCTGTGAATCATAAATATTACACTTGATAATTTCTTGGGCAGTTTGTCAACATGACATGACCAATTCAATCTGTCGTCTATATGGATATCAATTAGCTTAACACATTTACCAGAGGTTAAATTTGTATTTGTGGAAATAATAAGATTTTGATTTTCAGCCTCGTTGAGGAGAAGCCTATTTGAAACAAATCAGTTACTCGCAGACTTCATGGTGGCGTTAGCAGAAATAGTCAAATCATTCACAGTACTGTGACACTCCACCAAAGTGGTATCGTCCGCAAATAGAAAACATTTTTGGGAGGTATATGGAAATATAGGTCATTTATATATAAAATGAACAAAATTGGACCCAGTACAGAACCTTGGGGTAGACCATGGTAATAATACACACTCTGATCTATCGTGCAAATAGGATTCAAAAAATTTAAGGAACAGTCCACGGATACCATGATAGGAAAATTTATTAAGCAGAATATTGTGCGAAACATAATGAAATGCCTTCGATAGATCGCACAATGTTATGAATGAATGTCTGCCCTCCTCAATGCTTACCACTAACCTGGATATGATATTCAAAAGAGCATTGATGATAGACTTACTTTCATACAATATCACATGATATATTTATCAATTTCAGTTCTTAAAATTGCCTAGTCTTGTGTTTTATGTCACGTACCTACCTATGAAAAGTATCGATTGCTTTGCAAAAAATTGCAATTGCTTCCTTTGGTCGATTTTCATTCATCAGTTGGGATCCAATTTCATATTGTTCTTCGCACAACTTCAAAGACTGATATTGCTGGGTTAAAGTAACTTCATTGCTACATTTCGGACACTTCACTGAATCCTTCAGCAGTGGTAACGTGAAGTAGTAAGAACAGCTTTCAGTGGGACATCTGAAATTTTAGAATAAGTGGTAATGAAAGGAAATAGAAAAAAATATGTTTCATCATTCATTTATATATAAATATTAGGTAACTGCCAAAGAAAATAAAACGAAAATCAAATAGTTAATTGGAAAAGTCCGTAATATGTCGAACAATCCATACACGTTCGAAAACTGATTTCCTGCCCTCCATATACAGGGGTGCGGCGCAAAAGTCCGAAATAAAATTAATATCTTTTTAACCAGTATTTTAGGAAAAAAACGCTGAAACACGTCAGTTGATTTCACGTTGTACGCATTTTTTGGCAACAAAATGAATTTTTTTTTCAACCCCTTAGCTGCAACCCTCCCCAACTTTTTTTTTTCAAACGCAAACCTATGTCGTGTATGGGCTCATTGAAAAGCTCGTAAAAAATGGATTCTGACCATACCCTTTATTTTTTTTGTGGTTACAACGAAATGAGAAAAAATGCTTTTGAAAAGTAACAAATACCTATCTTAGTGCTATCTACGGGTGAATTAACGTAACAGATGCTGAAATTGGCCTCCACCCTCTACTTGGCAGGCTCCTAGGCGACGGTAAAACCCGTCTACGGAATTCCGAATGGCTTCAGCCAGTATGTTATGTGATTCCACTCTAATTCTGCTTTTCATATTCAATATTAGCCGGCCTATTTTGATAAACCTTGTCTTTTATATATCTCCAATAGAAATAATCCAATGGCGTTAAGTCTGGGGATCTTGGCGGCCGTTCAATTGTACCACGTCGTCCAATCCAGCGTCTTGCAAATATATCATCGAGATATTCTCTGACATTAATACCAGAATGTGGAGGAGCGCCGTCCTGTTGGAACCAAAGTGTTTCAGTGGGAATATCTGGATCAGCTTCATTGGGAAACATAACAGCTAAATGGCCCTAATATTCTGTTGTTGATGATACCTGCCCATACATTTACTTTCTGAGGACGCTGCGTACGAGCTTCGTATATCCAGTGTGGGGTTTCCTGACTCCAGAATCGATAGTTGTGCCTGTTAACTACTCCATGTAAATAAAAAGTAGCTTTGTCTGAAAAGGGTGTGTTGAGAGGAAACCCATTATTCTCGTCACATCGCCTCATCATTTCCTCACGAAATTGCAAACGCCTGTCATAGTTATCTTCCAAGAGATCTTGGACAAGACATACCTTATATGGGTGGTATTTTTCTGTTTTCAAAAACCTCCCAATCGTACGTCTAGACGCAGGATTGTTTTGGGCTAATGAAACCGTTGACAAATGTGGATCTTCCTACAGAGATACGGCAATGTCCAATTTTTGATCTTCGTCTAAAACATGTGGCCGGCCACTTCTGGGCAAGTCCTTCACTGTACCATGCTCTTTAAATTTGTGTAAGATCTTACTCACAGTATCCTGGGAAATGTGATTTTCCGGATATTTTGCATTAAATGAAGTACACACCTCACTTTGACTCCGAATTCCCAAGAATATCAAGACTTCGATACGCTGCCTCTCTGACAATACCATTTTTGTTTAGCAAATTAAAAAAGAACACTTTGAAGGTACCCAATTAATAAACTAAACATACATACAATTTCAATTTCACCCAGAAATGCCACAATTTTAAAACTGGGTCAAGACAATAGTTCTTATCAGAGCATTCATTTTGATACAAAAAAAGCAACAACATTTTTCTCTTTTTGAGGTACACTGGTCAACAATTGCTTGGGATGGAACTAATTTAATGTGTAAGTTTTTGGTGAAAAAATAAAATCCACAGAATGTTGATGCTACATTACGTTATCAGTTTTTCACATAAATCAATAAAATTAAATTTGTAAACTTACAGAAAGTAGGTACTGGTGATCCTTAGCAATTGTTGAGCAATGTACATTATCACCACTTATTTGTTTTTTGCAACGTTAATTCACCCGTAGATAGCACTAAGTAGATAGCACTATCTTTTTTGGTTTTAAAAGAGTTTTTTCTCATTTCGTGGTAACCGCATGAGTAAAAAAAATGAAGGGTATGGTCAGATTCCATTTTTTACGAGCTTTTTAATGAGTCTATACACGGCATAGGTTTGCATTTGAAAAAAAAAGTTGGGGAGGGTTGCAGCTAAGGGGTTGAAAAAAAATATTTCATTTTATTGCCAAAAATGCGTACAACGTGAAATCAACTGACGTGTTCCAGCGTTTTTTTCCTAAAATACTGGTTAAAAAGATATTAATTTTATTCCGGACTTTTGCGCACCCCTGTATATTGTATGAAACTGGATTCTGAATTTACCACATAATATCTTACGAATTCGTTCTGAGAGTCCAAAAATTGTTTTCTGTATATTTTTGGCAGGCTGTCAGAAATTCTTACTTTTCTCAATATAATGTTTACATGAAAATGTAATTAAATAAAATTTTCAATGGAAAACATTGGTCATCTTTGATTTTCTGATGATGTCGGGAACTGGTCATCAAAGTTTCCACATAGACCATCATTTCCTATTAGTCTTGACGAAACGGGCAGTATCAGCGTAGATCCCTCTGGAAAATATTATTTTTGACCCTTTTATGAAAAAGTAAATATTGACTACTTCTCCCAACTAAAACACAAATGATATGAAAGTCTCTCTTATATCACCAATGCTTGTGACAAAATACAGTGTAAATGGAATCACTTCCAAGCTAGGAAGAGATAAAGCCCGTCCTCCTCTACCATCCGGAAAGTGCAGAGAAAAGAAGCGACGTAAGGTTAGCCTCGCCTAAGCTTATTTAAAAAATCTGGATCGCCAGTCATTCAATACTAAGATAAAGGTAGACTTGGCATCTTTGGCGTAGAATCTATTCAAAACAAACAATGTTTCCAAACATCATAACAGCAACACTATTCTCGACGCGCGTTTCGCCAATTAAGTTGGCGTCTTCGGGAGATGAAGTAGATAGTCCACTTCATCTCCTGAAGATGAAAACTCGATTGGTGAAACGCATGTCTAGAAGAATGTAGCAGTTCTTGTTTTGGAAATATAACTATGTTATTCTTTGATCTTTCAGCGAATTCAGAGAAAGTAATTGTTGCTTGAGACAAAATTTTGATTGCTTTAATTGGTCCTATGGTATGAGCAATGCGTGATCAAATGCTTGTGGATCAAAATGCTGAAGTAGGGATGAGATGAAAGTTACAGCAGTAGAAGTATTAACTTTCAAGTGAGTTTTTGTTCATTGATTTTTTTTTGGTATTATATTCATACTGAAAAAGTGTCATCCGCTACGATATAAATTCAAGTGAATGTAAGTAAGGTTAAAGCTACAGGTCGACAGAAAGCGATTTGCTATTTGTTGTATCTACCACAGAAACAATAACAATATGGGTTGAAACCAAATCAGATGCCTAACATTTCAAAATACTCAAAATCTCAAGAAATTCAACTAGAAATATGAACATACTAACTTCACTCTTTTGCTGAAATTGTCCAATCCCCCATCTATGGTAGGCCAATTGAACATACACGCATTACACTGACACTGAAACCAGTATCTCGAATTCAGGCATATTTGACGTTCTTGAAGACATTTCCTTGTGAATATTGGACCATAATTTTCTGCTATTATCTCGTTACGCTTCAAAGGTCTGGACGCTTTGATAACTATGTCCTTTCCTACAAAATGTCTGTAAACATCTCTTAATGTTTTGTATTGTTTTTATTATCTTCAAAAACAGTATATGTTCATAAATAGAGATCAATTAAATTAACTAAAGATATAAATTTAACAAAATAATGAAATATTGAACAAGAAAACACAATCAATTAATATGATCAGTGAATGTTAAGTTTGTTAATAGGCATTAAAAACTAATTATTTCTCCATTATAAATAATTGAATGAGAAAACCAAGTATAATCAATACAGGCAAACAATCAAATGTGAAATTTTTCATATTTATAGAATTATGTGTACTCAAAATGTTTTGTTCCAAAAACTAGCAGAATTTATTTTAATACCTTATCCACTATAAAATGAAAATAATTTTTTTTTCGTGAAAACAATAAAATATGAATGTGTATTGTACTGAATAATGTCTAGTGAAAATGCTCTCACCGTGTTACTGCTGGGTAGCAATCATGATTGAATAAAGCTACAGTTGGATAGATACCAACCCCAATGGATATCGTTCTAGAGTCCTTGAAACAACAGTCCGCCGTTTTCCTAGTTTCATATATTTCGTGTGCACTGAACTGCAACATTTGCAAATGATACAGTAATAACTCGCCAACGCAAAATTCGTCTTCAGAAGGTATGGCTGAAAAGAACAGTTACCAAAAAAATATGTATTGAATAACGGACATGTCCAAAAAAGCGTAATGGCATGTTTCAGCAAAATTCACGTTGAAATAAAAAAGTCATGGAAAAATGTTAATATTCATAGTCAAACGCATTAAATTTCGTATTGTTTTGACACCCAAGAGTGATGTGTTGAGTATTATGTTGAGAAACAAATTCTTCAGCAACTGAAAAAATGTTTCTCCAAACGAAAAAATTTTGAAGGGTTTTGTTTGTTCAAAGAAATGTGCAAGGTGAATAGTATCAGTTTCAAGTTGTTTTTCATAGTAACAAAAATTGTTTTCTTCCAGATATTGAACGTTTTGAGATAGACAATGTAAGTATATAGATTTTCAATTTTGACTCTGATTCTGTTGAAGGTTCAAAATGGCAAAAAACTGGTGAGTATCTAACAGAACCATTTCTTTCTCTCCTTGTACATAAATCTTTCTTTGTATACGTTTTGTTTCCACATCGGTTCACGTTCTGCTTCTACCAACCACACGTGTGTATGTCAAGTTTGAACCAAATCGATTACTATTCTACTAACATTGTATCCGTTCTGTTAGTGTCTATAGGAAGGATTATTCAAATTTATTATCCGTAGCATCATACCAAACAAAAAATATAACCCTCCCTCTGAAAAGTCACCAACTAAGTAATCACTTATAGGTTATTCTACTGATTTCAAATATATGAATGTTCTCAAGGACAAAACACAAGCACTACAGAAAAATCCTCAAATGCTCCTTACATTAGATTTGAATCGCTGGAGATTAAATCCATTTGGAAAAACGTTTTCAGAAAGTTTATTCCACGTAAACTCAAATCTCCAGATGAAAGAGTTCATAAACAGTGAAGTTCGAGGTGTACTGAGTTGAACCTTAAAACGATGAGAAGCCACAGTTCGTCGTGTATTTCTGATATGTACCGCTCTTGGTAGAATCAAATGTGCCAAGTCACTTGAGAATTTCTCGTGAAAGTATCTATTAAAGAGAGACGAATCTTCAACCTTTCTTCGATGTTCCAGGCTATCAAGGATGCACGTAATGTTCGCGTCTCCAATCAGGCGTATGGCTCCTTCCTGGATGGAATCCAGCAAGTATTCGAGTTATATCCATCGAAGGCCACTTGCAGGTAACGTTTTTTCAGGAAGCTGAAGAGCCATACACAAAAATGATCCGACAAGTTTATCCAAAAAACCCTCATGCCACACACGGTCAAAGTCCTTAGAAATATCAAGCGCAACAGCTCTTGATTCTCCATGTTTTTCGATTGCGTTATTCAAAATATGGGTGACATACGAAAGCCATATTGATTATCGCTCAGGATGTTGAAGCTTTCAAAATGTTTGAGGATATGATGGTTTACAGCTTCCTCCATGATTTTTGATATCACTGATATAATAAGGAAAAAAATGGCGGTATTCCATACCGCCAATACACGAAGAACTTTAAAAAGATTTTCAAGGACCTAGGTATGAAGATGAATAACGATGGTGGACCAATAACTAATAATATACTCAATATCTTGTTGAAATAATTATCAGATTCACCTGACTATTACATAAGGACACATTATAAAATCAATGTAAGACTAGTAGATAAGGCAATATTGTGAAATTAATCCAAGACACTTAAGATGAAGGTACCTAGAAGATGTATCTATGGTATAAATAAGGATAACATTGTACGTATTTTTAGTTTAATTTTCCTCTTGAAGATGATCACTTGGTGATCGAAACACGTATTAAAATAACGGTTTGGTGTTGGGATAAAACTCCGGTATTATTCATGAGCTATAGTTCATTGAGTTTTTTTGTCCTTGTTTCAGAACTAAACATATTTGTATAGAAAGCTTTTTTAAGGGCGATTCAAAAGAAACTATCTAAAGGTTGTGCCATATTGTCTTTATGAAAAGTTTCTCCGTTCTGGAAGATTGACATTTTTAGTATTACATTGCCATCATAACATTTATCATAAAGATTTGATTGAATTGATTGAATCTCATGAACAGTTCCCAAAACTGCAACATGTGTTTCGCTGTACAATAACTTCCTCAGACGTGTTCGTAAGTGTTATATGAGAATGCCTGCGTGAGCTATTGTATAGCGAAACACGTGTTGCGGTTTTGTAACAGTTTTTCGATTGAAATTGTAACTCTTAAAAGAATTGATCGAATCATCCCATGAACAGTTCCCAAAACTGCAACACGTGATTCGCTTTGCAGTAACTTCCTCAGAATTGTTCGTAAGTGTTATATGAGTATGCCTGTTGGAGCTATTGTATAGCGAAACACGTGTTTCGGTTTTGTAAATTGGCATCATAACAGTTATCATAACAGTTTTTCGATTGAAATTTTAACTCTTAAAATATTTGATCGAATTATCCCATGAACAGTTCCCAAAACTGTAATACGTGTTTCGCTATACAATAACTTCCTCAGACGTGTTCGTCAGTGTTATATGAGTATGCCTGTGGAAGCTATTGTATATCGAAACACGTGTTGCGGTTTTGTGAATTATTCAGTGAGAATCTCACAAAGAAATATAACCTCCACAGGTATGTTTATAATCGTATGAATATGCCTGAGGAAGCTAATGTATATCAAAACACGTGTTGCGGTTTGGTAATATGTTCAGTGAAAATCTCACAACGAAGTGATATCTGAATACGTTATGAATTCTCATAATTCTCATCAAGTATCAACCAACTCCATCACATATTTTTTTAACATTACCTATCTGTTTGAATTTAAAAAAATAATGTAATGAATTCCAGTTACGTTTTTGTTTGAACTTGAACATCTCATTTCAACATGAATAACTCTATCATATACCAGTAAGAGACTCATAGTTACTTTAGTTGCTTAACTAAAAATGAATAAACTCACCATCCCTTCCACTAGTTCGGAAATATCCAGCTTTCTGAAGACATCTCAGTAAAAAAACCGCCATTAACGTTCTTTGAAAAAAGTCATCAGCACACCGTTTTTCTGCATTAGTACATAAGGAATACACCCTTTCGCTTGACTTGTTTTTGTATATTTCCAAACAAGTACTCAGTTCATTTTGTGTTATCATCCTCAACGCGGTGTGTGAAAGAATACTCATACCAGACCCAATGAGTAGGTCCAAGAATTTACATTCGTACTTATGATACGAACAAACCGCTTTATTTCTGCAAGCCATTGAACAGAATGCCACATTTGCGCAATCTGGACATCCTACAGGGGCCTTCAACCTTAAATTGAAACATAACTCATCAATGTTTTGGTTGGTTTCGGGTTTTGCCGTGGTCTTCTTTGGTTATAATCTCCAAATTTTTCAACTGCAACTGCGAAGGTCATTTTCAGTGGCGTAGTCGAAGTACTCTTCTTCAGGTATCAACTGAAACTGCCATGTCATTTATAGTGCTGATTTTTCACGCACTTTCTTCAATGGTGGGTTTGTGCGTACTTTCCGCGCGATTTGGGTGACATGGCATCGTTTTCGCGCCTTTCAATGCTGTGTGACAGATCTTCGATAGATATATTCTCTCTTCCTTTCTGTTGAAGTTCTCTTGGTGTTTGTGTATTTCTATGGCTTCTAAATATATTCTTCTTGAATAATGATTCGGTATTTTCGAAAAGGAGTTTATGTTTCCCGTCGGAAAATGCATGCTCCATGACTGCAGACTTCTTGGTCTGTCGCAATCGGCAACTCCGCTTGTGCTCAACTAGGCGAGTACCAATGCTCCTTTTCGTCTGATCGATATAAACTTCACCACAGTTACATGGAACCCTGTAAACTCCTGCTGATTTGAGTGAGTCTCTACTGTCTTTTGCTGATCTCAGATACTCCGATATTTTCTTCGTTGGTTTTGATTTTCTTCTTCTTTAGAATTTTCCCCATTCAGTTGGAGATATCTTCTATGTATGGCAGATAGACAGTGCCTTGAGTTGCTCTCCACTGGTGTTCCTCTTTTTCTGCCTTGGACGCGTAACGCAGATTATGTCTTTTTCGCCGTAGCCGTCAGCTTGTAACACAGTTGTTAAGTGTTTTATTTCGTCGTCGCCGTACCTTTCTTTAAATATTATCAAAGCTGTATTCACTAGGGTGTTGATGACGGAAAGTAAGCGCGAACCCGCCATTACAGAAAGTGCGCGGAAACTCAGCATTATAAATGACACGGCAGAAATTAAAGCTTCAGTTACAGTTGATAAGTCAAGGATAGTACTTCCACCACGCCACTGAAGATGACTGCCACAGTTGCAGTTGAAACGTTCGGAGATTTTAACCAAAGAAGACCACGAAAAAACCCAGTAACCAACCGGGTTACCGGGTTTTGCCGTTACTCTATTGGTTGAAGTAATATTTCAGATTACCTTTCAAAGCAATGGTGGCAATGTGTTCCAAACATTTCAGGCAACAGGCAAGCCGCGTAGGGCGATTCCACAACTAGTGTTTCACCGGTACGAATATTATTATTTGCCACTGCATGTTTTCCTAGTTTTTCTGATTCATTTATTTGGATTTTCCTCGAAGCGCAAGGATATATTTCGTGAACTTCACCTTCAACCGAAGGAGTAACTGAAATTTAATAAATTTGGTTGATCCCGTACTGAACTGAAAAAATAGGAAGAATAAAGAAACAACAATTAATAGTTGTAGGTTCACCTAAATCAAATATCAAAAAATCTCCAAAAAAATTGGCCAAAAGAGTGTGGTCAAGGGCGTGTCCATTTTTTTAACACGCTCTTTCATTCATTATAACAAACAATTATTGTTTGGAGTTAATAATTTGATTTTTGTTATTATCAGAGACAGAAAAGAAGTTTCCCGTTCAACGATTGTTACCTTCCAAGAGTATATCTTTATTTTTTCATTATAGGAAGATTAACCAACTGGAGTGGCTTTCTTCAGATATATTACTCTTCCGGATGACTTATTTTCATTGTATTTTCTGAAGGTAATTGGTACTCAACGTTATCGAACCTTGTAATGAATTGGCTATTACGTTTTTTAGTTCTTAATTGGCATAAAGTACAGGACTATGCAGATGACTTAGTATCTCAGTGCAAGGCAAACAGCAACTCTCAAAAGTCGAAGCTTGTGCAAGCTAAGGCCTAACGAGGTCTTACCTTTCAACGTGTGATTCCTAACACGAATATAATTATAATACAGTAAAGGTACATGAGTCCATTCAAATTCACCATCGAAGGATTCACTAAGATAGCCAAGAAAGAGGGGTTGTTGCCTCAGAAACTCTGACATGACGGGATACAATTGAAAGAGGTTAGACTAGATTCCGGTATCTAGAGAGATTGAACAACATGTTCTCATTTTGATGAGACTTGAAATTTTTTTGTTTACAAACCCTCCCACTGGCATCAAACCGGAGTTTATTTTGCCACAGAATTTTTCGAATCAATCGAGTTACTACATTTTATAGAGATATTTTAGATTTTATTATGAATGTTAGAATTATGTTGTATATTTATTCATTGAGTGTAGCTAAAAGAACTGTTAAATTAGTTGGAAAGGAAACATTCGAGGAAAGCAAATTATTTAAAAATCCGTCCGGTACAGTTCGAAGTTGGGACATATGAATAGGATGTGATTTATATCCGCTAAGGAAAAATTGTTAAATGATCATAATGGGTTTACATCAATGCCTTTTTCTGCCAGATATGCAGGGAACTTACCATGGTTCATTTTCATTCGTGTGATGGTATAAGTGACGTAAAAAAAATGAAGTAGTCTATGTGGGGGATAGTGGGATGGATTAATGAATGATGATTTTTTGATTTAGAAGAGGAGACTTGGAAATATTATCTAACAAGTCGGAGGCACTACTATGCTAAAACGAGACGTGGTATATAGCCTATACTTAATGCTGGTTAAACTCATTGAAACATATGCAACTTTATCGGCCAAATATAAAACAAGCGACCTCTAACAATGAAGCTAGAGTGGGAAGACTTGAATATTTATTGAAACGAATAAAACATATTCACGAACCACAGGACATACTTGACAGTAATATCTAATATGAAAATGAAACTGTGAGAGAACCTATCATATTCTATGCTAATAGGAAACTTCATTGCTATTCGCTGGGTCCGTACATATCCGTCCTCTAGGAAGACGATACTGTTAAGAGAATGCCGTGAAAAACCGTAAGAAATGACAGATGGACAGGAACTGATTGATCCTATAATGGGTTCCGGGACACTCATAAGTCAGAGGAAAAAGTTGCTAAAAGTGCCATAAACGTGTCGTCACATTAATGAGGACCAGCTACGAAAATACTGAAATGATTGGTATGTAGAATATAACAAGGAACACCCAAGGGACAACTGTTCCTTCTGAACAAACAACCGAAGAGGTGCTTCAAAAAAGCAGTGATTGGCTCAAAACAAATAGAGTGGGCATACTTGAAGACTGTTTATAAATCAAATCATCTGAAGGAAGAATTTTTCCAGGCCAGTCTCAATTCCCTACACTGTAGGTTAATGGACTGCTACCTATCAGAAAACAACTACCCGACATTCCTGCATATGCTGTTGGCGATACAACTGCCACAATAAATTTCCAATTATTGGAACACACTTGCAGACTGGTTTCGGGCTGTTTGGCCACTCGTCAGAGCAAGGTAGTGTCTATCATCAACATAAAGTCGATGATTTCCGATAATTGAAAATCTTATTCCTTCAGAGTATCATTCCTTGAACTAGACTGAAGCGGGCAACAAACAACAGATTTGTCATCGCCCCATCTGCCTGTGAACGAGGCATATGCAGAAATAACTTCAGTGAAGAATCCTGCACTGAGACATGTCTGATATAATCCAACTTCCTGCGTGGTATTAGCCAGGAAAGTAGTTTTCTGATAGGTGTCAGTCCATTAACATACAGTGTCGGGAGTTGAGACTGGCCTGAACAAATTGTTTCTTTAGATGATTAGAGAGCTCCATGTTGGACATTTCAATTTAAAGGCACCTTGAACAAAGTAGGGTTGTATGACTGATATATCATAAACAAATAATGCCATGAATGCCATCGATGGATCAAGTACCTACCCGTCACATTATTCAGAAATGGAATTCTTAAACTGAGTTATATTTGTTTTAACTTCCAGTATTTACTGCAAGCTGCTAAATAAAAAATTTAAGCGACCCAAAGAAGAAAGACAAAAGCTGAAAATAGTAAAAATTTAAAACATAAAATTTGAGATGAAAAATAATTAACGATTTAAACAGATTATATTAAAAATACCCAACACAGAGCAACTAACTAATGAAAATATTGCAAATGAATAAAGTGTGAAAAGGATTTTTTTTTCAATTATAGAGTCAACTTTCTGATCTTCATATACGAGTTGCTTTGATCTGCAACTGAAATGTCGTGAGTTCTTGATTGAACTTGGTTTAATATATTTTTACATTTTCATTAATTATAAGATACTTCGTTCAAATAGATTCAATAATAATCAAATTAGTAAAGTATTTCGATAAAGGTGAGGCTATTTCGATTTTATATAAGCTACAAAAATTAAAATGATTTATAAACTATAGTTGGAATATGAGAATGAATTCTTCACAAATAATCAATCAAACACCTAAATATATTTTGTATAGCTGTTGCCCGCAACTTCGTTCAGGTTTACTTGAGTTTTTAGGTTTTCCAGACTTTCTAACAGCAGTAAGTTCTCATGTATTCACCTATCTATGATTTATAAACAAATCGTTTCACAAACTGTAAACACTTTGAGGAAAAGTTTCAGCCATATCAACTTAATAGTATTTTTATGGTATTTTTTTTACAAAAATTGACAGAATTTTCAATGAATCAAACAGTAAAGTGAAAACCACAATATACATTGGTGAAAACCGCACCCAATCGGGTAATCCGTTTCAGATATAAGCGCGCAGACAAACACACAGTTATTATATGTAATTGACTTTTTCTTATTTTATTTCACTCATATTTCCTAAGTTTTTATTCTAACTATTTTTGAGTTACCAATTAAAATTTTTCAGTTCATCTCGATTTTGCATGCGGCATTCCTCATTGTAACATACATTTAGGGGTGTATTAACTCCTGGCATTGAATTTAAAGTGCGCACCCGTCCAAATAACGAAACTGTGGGATACATCAAAGGTGCTGACCGTGAAATGACTAGTTTTTCTAGACTCCTAAAAATATAACCTTCCAATTCAAACAATATTCCTTTGGCTGGGATTCAATCAAATAAGCAAATAAATGTCATTACGTACTCATTCCGTGAAATGAAGTCGTAATTTTATGAATGAAACTAATGTTTTTTCTAAGAATGTTATCCAGATATGGTACTTAAGAGCTGATTAGGCACGTGTCTTACGGCAAAATATCGGATGTCCACCAGTGAGGATGACAGTGTTCCATGTAAGTGAAATTTTACCTCTTTCATTCAGTATATTGTGTAAGAATCCTGTGAATGATATCTGATTCAATTCCATAATGTTTGGAATACAAACTGAGTGGAGAAAAATGCTTTTGTATGATTCAGTGTTTATATAAAAATATTTATTTCGAAAGTTTTTTTTTCGTGTAATTTAATGTTTATATGAAAGTAGCTGATTCAAAAGGGCTTTTTTCCAGTTTGTGTCTGAAAGTTACTTCTTGGTATGATCTACACATCTTTGTATAGAGTTACTTTTTTTAAATAGATTGCTTCCTTTTTTTCTTGGGAAGATTCTCACGTTTTTTGTATCAAGATAGTGGAGTGAAAAGCCAAAAATTTCCTTTCCCAAAAATCAACCTCTCCTAAAAGTATAACCCTTTCAATTTAAAAAAGACGAGTTCTCAAATTTACTTGATGAGTTCACCTATTGATTCGATGAATTCATATATTGGTCCATTCGAAACGTTGGTGCTTGCGTATTGGTTGTAGCAACACATCTGGATTTTGCTGTTGAATTTAAGATCTCGCCTAAAGTTCTGTTATATGTTGGGAATCACTTTTAGTTTTGTATTGTGTTTTGCATATGCATTGACAACACATCAGCTAGATAATAATTTCTGTACCTTTCTCACCTATTTTTATCGTCGCCAAATCAACTGTTATGCTCATTTCCCGGTCAATATGCAACTCCTCCAAACGTTTTTTGTTATTTTCTAGTAATTTCTCGCACAGATCAAAGGATACCGTCGCTCTAATTTTCTCTCCCATTGCTTTATAACATTTTCCCATTCTCCAAAAGGCATCGGCTTTGAATATGTTTGGCAAATTTTCTTTCAAAGCCGATTGAATATCGTTTAATGCTAATGAATATTCTTTTAGTGCCATCAGAACTTCTGAACGACCCCATAATGCCAGCGAGAGTGTTCCTCCAGAATCAAAGTGATTGTTTATACCTAAAAAAAAACAACGAATTTGGAGATTTGATCGACCTTATTTGGCTATTTTCACCTTCTACTATCTGAAAAAATATGAAAATTGTAATACAGAACCGTATACACTGTGTTCAAAATGAAAATGAACAGCATGGGTACACGGGGTCGATTGATGAGAAAAGTAGTGTATTTATGTGCCTAATAATATGCCATTATGAAAGTTTTAATATTGCGAGTAGTTTTGGAGATATCCGAGAAAAATCGAAATTTGAGAATTTCTTTTTATTTTCTCCTAACTTTATTTTCAAAGGAAATTTAAAACGAATAGCACTTTGCCATGGCCACTTTTTAAGAACTACACGATAAGGTGAGCAGAATTTTTCTGCGACGTTTCGTCTTTTGGTAAACATCATCAACTTTATATTTTTATATGGGCCGAAACTAAAGTATACGACTGTATACGACTCCATTTTTCATTGTGAATACAGCAACGTATCACACAATATGATTTCATAATCAATTCTCTCACAAAATGAAAAGTGATTACTCAACCTGCTTTTCTTCAATTTTAGATAGTACGCGTTGTGTGATACGTTGCTGTATTCACAATGAAACATGGGGTTGTATACAGGGTATACTTTAGTTTCGGCCCATATAGAAATATAAAGTTGATGATGTTTTCTAAAAGACGAAACGTCGCAGAAAAATTCTGCTCACGTTATCGTGTAGTCCTTAAAAAGGGGCCAAGGCACTGTGCTATTCGTTTTACATATCCTTTGAAAATAAAACTAGGAGGAAATAAAAATTAAATTCTCAAATTTCGGTTTTTCTCGGATATCTCCGAAACTACTCGCAATATTAAAACTTTCTAAATGGCATATTACCACTTACCGTTTCCGATATCCCCATTCTTATCTTGGACACAGTGTATAGGTGTAGGAAGGGCAAACTTACTGCATAAATTCAAAGTATTTCACAAAGAAGAATGTTCTATTCATTAGTAACTTGTAATATTCAATAATTTTGCCTATCAAGAAAATAGCTTAGAAAATAAACAGACAGTGGCGGCGCAAGACCTAAATTTGATGTGGGCAAGGTACATTACACGTCCTCTGATGGTGTAAGAAGAAGGGTTTATGAAATTGAAGATACATTTGAAATTGGTCAATTTTCTATTCACTAAAAAACACTTTCAAGATTTTTCACTCATGTACTCTTTTGGGACATTGAACAACGAAATTAAAAGACAAAACCCGACTCAAAAGAAAAATAAAAACCTGTCTGGGTCGCCGTATCGCAACTCCAGTCAAAGTCACTGACACGGCAGCTATTTTCTCATTGAGATCTTCAAAATAAGCCCATACACGTCACGTCTGCTATAAGTTGCCGAGGAGTTAGTCTTTTGCAGACTGTTCTGGTTGCAGCATCAAGTCAAAGTAAAAATGTTATTGTACATACTCTTGAAAATATCGAATTTTTATCTCGATCACTCAAGTGGATGTATGGTTAACTATAATTTCTCTTCGTAATCTTGGAAACAAGCTGGTAACTTCTAAACGACTGTTGCCATTTTCATAAAACATATCTAAGAACCATCCCGACAAAATTAGGTATTGAATAAAGAAACCGCATCAAAATGAGTCTACTAGTATAGGAGCTACAGTTCTACAGACAGACACATAGGTATAATTCAAACTCATAACACTCCTCTTTCACGTCGAGAGTTGAAAATAAAAAAAAGAATAAATTAAAGAAACAAACATTTTCTACTTTTGGTTTTACTGAACTTCCTAATTATCGGTAAGTAATTTATCTTTGATGCTATATCTGCTTCAATGGATGAAACTGCCAAAGCTGAAAGTCTTTTTTAATTTTCCATAGGTATTTTTCTCTTTCACTTTCGGATTTGAGGCGCGAGGCGTTGGCGGTTGCCCACACCGTAACGTTTCAGAAGTCAATCAATGTTATTGATTTACTTCTGAAACATTCTGCACTTTGTACTACATGAAATGTTTCAAAAGTCAATCAAAATCATTGATATATATCACATTTCAAAACATATTTGATATCTGTCGATGACGTTCAAAAATAAAGCGAACCAGCAGAAGAAACTGCCAGTATCATTAGCTTTTTCCGATTCTGAAGACGGAGACACATCTTTGTAACTAGCGACGTAGTCGCTGACCGATTAGTCTACCGAAAGATGTTCACCAGAGTAATTTGTTTCAATCCTAGTGAATATTCTACATGATTTCCATCATTTAATAAACATACTAACCTGTTTCAATCTCTGCCCCGCATTCTTGTGAGTTTTTAAGAAGATATTTTGACATTATTCCTCAAGTTATTCATTTTAAGATTAACTGAGATTTGAAAGCTTCATATTTTATGGGAAAAATCTGTGGATCAAATCTGGGGACTTAGAGACCACTTGATGATCCTTCTATTTAATTCTAACGGTTGTTATAATGGATATTATCGTGTCTTGAAATGGTAATGATATACAATAGAGCTCTATCTTGATTGAAACAAAATGGTCCTCGATCACATTGATTTTCCAACTGAACTATAAATTGATTCTCTAGCCTTCATGTACATACGTACATTTAATTGTGAAATGAATGATTTTATGGTTTCAGGCCCAGAATCAAATGGTAAAATCATTTTCTTCTATTACATTCGTCACATCACATCATAGTTTTCAATTATTCGTAAGAGATGCAGCCAGCTTATGTGTTTTTTCAGCCTTCTTACAACAACTCTCAACTAGTTATCAGTTTGCACCTCGAAGGACAATTGAAGAATTTTAATTCAGAGAATGTAAAATATGTCTGGGAGTTTTTAAGCTGGCAGAAATATCCAAATCTTGCAAGCATTACTAAATGGAGTAGATTGTACCATACCAAGATAAGTATAAAATCCCTGTTTAACATATTCAAACTCATCTAAAGAAAATCTCGTTTATATCAGATATGAAACTGATTTACAGATGAATGACTTTTACTTTTATCAGGTAAGATTTTTGTAATGGCGCTACTAAACTTCGCCACATGGCGATGCAACAAATGATATCCACTATGATACTTATGTCTGTAGAAACTGTGAAAGATACCATCATTTTCAAGCTTGAGCTTTAGATTAACTCTTCTTAGCAATTTCAAAATTACTAGGTAAAAGTCGATGATTCTCTATTCAAGGTAACACGACTTCTTGATTTACAGAAACGATTTTATTCAAATGATCCACTACTACCTTTCATCCACGGACTTCTTGTCACTTGGTTCTAATATGCCATGAACAATAAGCTTTCATAACTCAGCTGTGTCCTGGAATTTATACTGTAAAGTTTTATCTCCGTAACCAATCATTTGTAAAGCTGTTATTCTATGCATTTCCTTTAATCTAACCATTTGTCAGACTTGAAGTTAACAAACTTTAAACTTAAATTAAAATACTCACAGCTAATGTTGTAACATACAAAATAAGTTGACAAGGCGTTTTAAACTAACGTTGGCACGGAAATGATTTACAGTTTTTTTTACGAATATCATCTTAAAAGAAAATTGCTATGGTTTTTGCTTACTTCTTTATAAAAATAAAAACAACAATAAAAATTAATTGGCGCTCCGGGACGACTTCATTGATTCCAGTGGCGCATTTGCTTTTTCAGCTGCAGTGAGGGTTTGAAAAATGAAAATTTTCCCAAATGAGTCAATGAAGAATCCTCAAAAAACTCCAATTTTGAAACATCAATAATCAATATACTTATAGTGAACGAAAAACTTTAAATAAATATTCTATACAGCATGGCCAAACAAAAACAGAACAAGGCTGTCGAAGGGAACTGTGTCAACATTTTAGGAGAACTCGGGAATACGGCACAAGGATGGGAGAGAAGAGGCAGCATCGAATAGCCTTCACAATTACCAGATTTATCGTCCCCTGATTTATTTCTATGATGATACCTAATCATCTGGAAATTCTCCACAACAAATCTTTATTTTTTATTCCATGATCGCAGCTGCTTATCAGTTTCAACAACTAAACAACGACTATGTTCATTTTGGTTTGGTCAGTAGTGCCTGAAGGCACTAATAGGTATATCAATGAGTCCATCATCGTAAAACGTTACTTACTTGTCTCTGGTGATCTCAAAACACTTTGGCTATAAAGCATCAAAGAAGACCTCAAGTCACCTTTTTGAAAAGCTTTCTCAGCTTCTAATCTTTTTCCTTGTGATATTCCTGCACTTTTTGTTCTGAAAACTTCTTGCACATTCGATAATACATTGACGATAGGTTTTTGGGTCTAAAATGAAATGAAATTACATGCGTAATATTGTGAATTTTGTGAATAATCAAGAAATTAACATTATAAACCTGTTTTCCAGGTATAAAAATCAATACTAAAAAAGTAGGTATACCTAGCAACATAAATGGAATCACATTTATAGCGGGATCATCTGAGAAAAGAACTGAAGCACTATTTTAGCAAAGCAGGGATCAGTCCAGAATAATAACAGAGCTATAAAATGACACTGTCTACTGAGGGAGGCCTTACTGCGGACAAAACAAAAAGAATCAGAGACAGTAAAAACTAAGTCAAGGTAAACTAGTACCAGAAGTCAAAAATGCCATCTTGAAGAAATTAATATATAAAGCACAACAAATATTTAATATAAATGAGAGAGGAGTCTCGACAGTTCAATTACCAGGAAAAGTTTTGGCAGAAACAGGCCAGAAACGAGTTGGGTCTGTAACTTTTTGGGAGAGAGGAAAAACTGGCACTGCCATTTGTGCAATGAGTGCGGCAGGCGCGGCGTCATGTCGCCCAATGCAGTGGCGGTGCCACGAAGAGACAAGGGGGCAGTCTGCCCCCCAGCCCTTTGCAAAATGTTGTTCTTAGCGCCCTTTCGACTTCAAATATTTCGCGTACATAACACGGAAAACCAATAAACGTGGCAACATTCGCTTTCAATACCTCGACCTCGATCAATTGTGAATCCCATATCGCTCGCTGTCTCATGCGAATGTGATCATTTTCTAAGAGATTGGAAATTGATTGTATCTCGGTGTGGCACTCGTAGCAGTAGTAGTAGTCTAGTTTGTTATTGTTGGTTATGATTCACCGGGTGCATTTTATGACTGTTCAAGAAATGGATGGACTAATGAAAGCCTATTTTTTAATGGTTACAACATTTCAAGACATTTGTAAAACCATGTAAGGATAACAAAATATTATTTATTTTAGATAATCATAACAGCCACTCCACTTTAGAAGCATATGAGTTTTGTAAAGCCAACTACATCACAATGACATTTTTTGATCTACTGAAATGGAAATGTGATTGGTATCTGAAATCTAAAAATTTTATTGAAGTCACACTGTATGACAAAGCGTGTTTGTTCCAGAAATCATAGAGCCAAGTAGCTTCAAAGGATGAGGCCATTAATGATTTCTGCGCAACTGGCATAAACCCATTTAATACTAATATATTCAGTGACGAAGACTATTATGTCCTTAATAGTGGATGATACTATAAATCCTCATGAAACCAATCAACCCAATCAGAGCCCTGTGATACTGTGTTCTGTCAACGAAATGCAATCGCATGAAAGGGATAATAGTGAAAATGTCCAAAATAGTAATGTATGTGTCCTAGAAGATTTTCCATCTGTTTCCTCCAAATTAAATGAAAACTCATATTGTGTACTCGCACTTATATCTCGGGAGATCCGAAAACGAACATATAAACAACATTCGCAAATAGACACTGCTACTTCAAATGAAACTATAATAGAAGAAAAGAGAAAGAAAGGTCTCATAAAGGAAAATAAAGCTTCGAAAGGAAAGGGAAGAATGTTGAAGAAGTAAATAATAAATCTACTAACAAAGCATTTTATTTGAATTAGCAGTCACTGCTACTTCAAATGAAACTATAATAGAAGAAAAGAGAAAGAAAGGTCTCATGAAGGAAAATGAAGTGTTGAAAGGCAAGGGTAAGAATGTTGAAGAAGTAAATAATAAATCTACTAACAAAGCAAATGAAAGAGGATACTAGATGAATGTGTAAATTACCAGAATATCTGCGATGACAATATTAATAACTACGTTGATGAAGATTTCACCTTGTGTATGATTTGTTGTGAATCTGAAAAATCGAACGAATGTAATACAGATGCAGGTCCTGTGGTGAATGGGTTCAAGCTCCATGTTCAGGAAATGATTCCGCCAAAGATTAGGCTTGTGATTTTTGCATTAGACAGCAAGTAATTGATTTTAATTTTATAAGACTGTGGTTTTGTATGTTCCTCAAGGTAATATAATTACGTTCTATATGAGAATAAATTCAAGTATAAGCATATACTTAAAATATAAGTATATAAGTTTTGTTACATTGCGCCTTTCTCTGGTTCTTATCACCCGGTACTCGTGGGTAATGGGTGCCAATTTTACTTTTATCAAGAATGAGTATAAATGTCTTTGGTTTATTTTTTAATTTATGTCTCGAAAAGAAAAACCGGATCAGTTGCGCTGTGAAAAAACAAAAACTATATTAAAAAGAGATTTTTGTCCAAAGTTTTAGTAGTTGTTTCTTAAGTGGTGCCAATTCCCTCGTGTTCCCCTAAGTATATAAAGTCATAATATTTTTTTAGGAATTCATTAAAGATGTTATTTGTGGTTGTGTTGAGAAAAAGAACTAGGTGGCAGCGACCCAATATGACTACATTAGTGTAATTGTAATTCACAGCTGAATTTGAACACAACTAAATTATGATATTTCTGTCTAAAGTAAATAACAACGTGGAGAAAACAACTCATGGGAATATAGCTGACCTGCATGCACAAACCAACTAAAATTAAACCCTATTTACCCTTTCAGAGAGATAAATACATCTTATTCTCTCTTTGTCAGATTTCAACTTTCCAAATTCATTATCAATCCATGAGTCACCTGCGTGTTTTTTGATAAGTTTCACAAAATCCATGAAGAAGCCATTATCGTTCGTTTGCAAGGTTCGTTCACTACAAATCGTTGTGTAGGCTTCATTAATGAATTTCGCCATTAGAAAACTCAATTCACAATAATATCTACTTTGGTCGACACAAGCGACATTCGAGTACTTGCATTGCAACAAGAAATAAAAAATTATAATTTATTTTTAGATGCTTTCTGTCGCTTTTATTTATAGTAGGTACACTTTGTACTGGTTGGTACACATTCTGGCCAAGTTAATAATGAGAAAAAAAGCAAGAAGTATCATGTCTGTAGGATATAATTCAGTACCAATAATTAAAGATCCTTTTCTAGGAAAGTTTAATTATGGAAAAAACCTTTATACATGGTGGACCATTGTTGTGAGGAAATCATACAGCGCCATTGTTTAACCAAAATGCGAAAAAATTTCTGTATAAAAGTTATACCATTGGTTAAGACTCATTTCATAAAAAAATGTTTACATGGTATCTCAAAGAGGAGGTAATCCTTACTTTTCCGTGTATAAACAAGGTATGAAATTTTTCATGCAGTACACTTTTTTAGTTTCATAAGAATTGTAGAGTTGCCACGCTGTTTATAACTTTCTAAAAAATTCGGACGTAACGGCAGACTTAAAGGGAAATAAAAAAACAGTAATCATATAGGTATTTACTTTTTTATAAACACCAAGAACAGAGATTAAGAAGAAATTCACTACATCTTATACAATCATCTTGTACTGTCAATTATTCAATGATTTTTTATTAATAGCCAATCTCTCACACCTTTTTTGACTACGATTGACAACCACTGTTTATTATCAAATTATTGTATATATTATATCATGTAGTTTTCTGGAACATTAAGAACATTATTTCACCAAATAATGTTCTACAAATCAGTTCACGAATTACGAGCTCAAGGAGTTTTCATAGTCAGTACATCAAATATTCCTGCGCCGTCACCTCACTCATTAAACCACCTGGTGCTGTGGCTATGGCTATCCGTCACAGGTTACAGTGTATCAGGTATGTTATGGAGCTCCGGTGACCATAACCAAAACTATCATATCCGAAATAAAAATAAATCCGTAACCACAGACTTGCTTACTATTCTGAGCCGTAACCGTATCCGGTACATAACATAACCTCATTCATAACTAGTCATTTTTGTATTTACGAAAAGGTACTTAATTCAATAAAGTAAAGGAAAAGTGTTGTGTTACGTACTGAATTGATTTATATGGACAAAATGCGACCAAAGTCGAGTTTAATTTGGACATTTTTTCATCAAGTTAATGTAGATTCTACAAAATGTAAACAGTGTAAACACGAAAAGGAGGTGGCACTTCCTTACGTAAACTTCATCTCAAATCAAGTGATAAGTACATACTATATTCAATATGCATTTCCACAAAATAAATAGGTCATCAATCGAACAAAAACATACTATTTTTATTTTACTTTAATTTGATGTCGGTAACCAAAACTAACGGATAATCTGATATAATTACATATCCGAAACCGATATAATTTTATTCTTGTATCCATATACCTACGGTATCCAGATCCAAAATTTGATATCCATAACATCCCTGCAGTATATCAGTTTTGTGACACAGTTAACTTAAGTCTGTGGCATTATCTGCTACATCCAGCAACTCAAATACATCTATCCTATCGCACACGCAGATTTCCAGCGAGCTACAATCTAGGAAAAATGAACCTGTTACAGTTGCAATGGTCAAAATGATTGCCGAACAAGTTCATCTCAATATCGGTGCTAAAATTGATATGAAGTTCTCACAGTTGCAAGCATCAATTGTTGGTTTGAGAAAGTGATAACTAATGCAACTAACCTAACACGAATCGATCAGAATCGATTATCTTGAACAATATTCTCGTAGATGCAATTTGAGGATTTTTGAAGGCTCAATTAAACCTGGATAGTCAGATTTGTAGTAGTCTCAATGAAAAATTCAAACTAATGATCTCTCCATCTGATGTGGAACTTACTTTCAAACTTTTTGATATCGTCTTTGTCAAGTTTACCTCGTTCTAATCTAAAAAAGGTGTTTAGTCTTGAAAGCATGCTGAAAGGGTTAGAAATTACCGTTAAAAAAATTAACACCTTTCAGCCATGATGCCCAGGGCTTAGTTGTGAAAAAATACGGATACAAGAATGTATGGACAATTGACGGAAATGTACGTGGACTGTTCAAAAAGTAAGGTGAATGTTCAAATTTTGCTGGCTACGTACCTACATTCGATTAGCGATTTTTTTATGTTGATACACTCGTCTCGAACATATGTTCACATTTTCAGCTGTTTAACCTGTTTAGTTTGTTGGTGAGAGGCATAAAAGTTACAAGTATTTTGATTGTTCGGCGATTTTCTGCTATCGAAAAAAATGGATCAAAGAATGTGAATGACGACGCTAGCCCTGGACACCCCAGCACATCAACAACCAATGAAAGTGAAGAAAATTGTTATGATGAATCATTAAATATGTATTAAAGATGTTGCTGATGATGTCGGCATATCGATTGGCTCATACTATGCAATTTTTTTGGTAAATTTTGGACATGAAGCTTGTGGCCGCGAAAGGTTGACCCGCGCACCGCCCCAAATATTGTATTGTATACCAAGTACATATAAAAATTCGTAGATGAGGTATACCATACCTTTATCAATTAAAATAATACAAATACAATCTAAATTAGTACGTATTCTATTTTAAGTTGCCTAGTTAACCTGTTTTACCTACTACTGATAAGTTTCCTATCTAGCCTGTATGTGTNGTAGCCATAAGCTCCAACCTCTGGATCGCAGTGTGTATGGACCGTTAAAGAAGTAGTGCTTGTGATTCTTGGATGATTCCGGGTGCAACGATGACCATTTATGACATACCCAGTATTGTTTGTACTGCACTACCATTAGGGGCAACTCCAAACAACATTACAGCTGGATTCCAGGTTTCCGGAATTTATCCATTCAATAGGGATATTTTTCCGGACAGTGAATTTATGGCTGCTTATGTTACAGATTGACCAGATCCTGAACAAGATTTGCAAGATATTGAGCAAAACGTAAATCCTGGTGAAGTATTGGGAGTTAAAGTAAATCTACCAGAACTTGGTCAAATTACACCCGTCGAAGAGGCTTTAAACCGTGTCGACAACCCCTTGCCAGACCAAGAGACTAATTCCAATGAAGACGTGCAACAAGCTGGACCAAGCAGAATTGCGGAAAGTAAGACGCCCACGCCCCAGAATTCTCAGTGTCTCCAGTCATCTAACAAGGTAGCAACATGTAGTTTTACAGATCTCGAAAATTTGAAGCCGTTTCCAAAGGCCGCAGAAAGGAAAGTGCAACGGGGTCGCACAAAAAGAAAATCTGAAATCTTGACAGATACGCCTATTAAAGATGCATTAGAATAAGAAAAAAAGAAAATAAAACGAGAACGATAAAAAACAGGTCTTTGGCAAAACCAAAAAGAACACAAAAAAACAAGCAAATGCGAAGAATTCAAAAATTAAAGACGATTCAAGCAGTGATGAAGAAACCTTCTGCCTGCTTTGCGTTGAACCCTGGTCGATTAGTTTGCCTAACGAGAAATGGATTCAGTGCACCCAATGCAAATTGTGGGCACATGAAAAATGCGCAGATGCGGGCTTGTTCTACGTTTTTTTTGTATTATAATTTTTTTTGCAGGCTGATTCTTACATAAAAAAATAAAAACAATAATTATTTTCTTAGTTTTTGCCTTGACCAACCAACCCCAAGGTATGTACCAACAATCCCCAAATACGGGGTTGCTTGGTACACTTGCATCCTTAAGGAAAAAATTAAATTGTGGATATAGGATAGGTCCAAACATTATGTAATTTGAAATTTATATAAACAAAACAACACTTATCTGGAAATCAAATGTATTTTCTCACTATCTATCAATAAAAAAATTAGAGGGGCTTCAATTTGAAAAGCGTACCAACCAGCCCCGGTCTCCCTTACTTACCTTACTTCAGCGTGCTTGCTCCTGTTTTGTTTTGTTGAAACAAGCACGAGCGCGTATCGAAATCGATAGTGGGGGAGTGGGAAAGCACTGAAAGCAGACTGCCAGTCATCAGACGCAGCACAAACAATGGAGTTACCGGACATTTGTTTTATGATTACTGTCGTTTTCGTTCGTTTGATAAAAAATCTTTCTATACCTACGTTGATATGGATCCTAAAAAACTAAATGTCGACAGTGAAAATAGAAGGTTTTTGGCAGAATGGATTGAACAAAATATTGTTTTACGCTGCCTGATAGGCTTCAAGCGGTTCCAGTGTGCCTTATATACAATAAAACTCTCGCTATTATTAAAATTGAAAATTTGAAGCGACACTACGAAACAACTCATCAGCAATTCCACAAAAACTTCACTCTTGGCAGTCAGGTCCGTAAAGAAAAAACTCAGACATATCTCAGTTCTTACGAAAAGAGTATAAAATTACTAGTTCGTTGCATAAGCGACCAAGAAAAATCCACAGAAGCAGCGTTACGTGTGTGCTGGACGCTTAATAAACACCAGAAACCATTTTCAGATTCTGAGATGGTGAAAGAATGTATGTGATCCGATACAAAGCGTGTCTGCTTTTCGTCGTAAGCTGGATATCTTCGTAATTTTTGGGCCAAAAACAACAGCCTCAGTCACCGTATTCATCAGATTTGGCCTCCTGCGACTTTTTCCTGATCCCAAGATTGAAAAGGTCCATTAAAGTACGCGTTTTGCGAAAATTGAGAAGATAAAAACCAAATCGCTGAGAGACCACAAGGACATACCCAGTGACGGCTCGTGCATTGGAGAACAGGGGAGGCTAAAGTCATAAAGACTATATACATACAGAAAAGCCCGCCGAAGGCTCGAAAATTTTTATGTTGTTGCAGTCTTTGCTTAATACTAAAGTTAGGGCATGGGCATGACAATGCGTAAAAAGTGCATGAGGATCTATGTATTTTATTTTAGTTTGTAAACCATTTAAATGGCCGATCATGACCGCAGCTTCATCATTGGTTTGCACAATTAACTTTGCCTAAAATTATAGGTGTCACACGTACGAATTAAAAAATTGAACAAGTCGTCAGCTGTGCGCCCAGATGAAACATCATGAAAACCCATAAAACGTTCTACCACATTACCATCTTTGACATATCTTAAAACGATTCAAAGTTGTGATGTACAGGTAATATAGGTAGTTTCATCAATTTCCTATGCAAAAAAAGAAACACTTTCAATCTCTTTGCTTATAATTTCCTTAATAATATACGCCACACTGTCTATAAGCTCATTTTGGATGGTTTTTGAGGTGCCCGAAAAAACGCTACTGTTTAAAAAGTACCAAATTGTGAATCATATTTGCCCCATAACATTAAAAGTTCCTTGTAATTGCCGCGATTAATCGAATCTTCGATTCAATCGTGTCCACGAAAAAGCTAATTCTTGGGAACCCAAATAAATCGTAATATCGATAAGTTTTTTAAATCCGACCGATTTTTCCCTAACCTGATTAATAAAAGAAATTATGGCCTCTTTTTGTGCTGTGTCTGGAGCTGTTGATATATTTTGTTTGCTAAACAATTTTAATTTACAAGACGAAAATATATGCTCCTTAGATTTAAAATGTATTTCTGTAGAACGAGGTAAATTTTTTAAATCGGAGTATCCTATTTTAGACCACGTTTTGTATTCGGTTTGTACGGAAAATAAAACACAGGGCCAACAAAAAAGTTTTTCTCGTTTAATGGAGCCGGTTAACCAATCGCATTTATTGTACCAACCAATATTAAATCCTCGATTTTATCGATTATCTAACGTTTTAATTGAAATCAAATTTGGTTGAGGACTTCCCAGAGTTTAATAATGTAAAATTTATCATCATAAGATAAAGACTTAAAATTATTTGTCAGCAACCAATCGGCTATATCGTTAGATTTTTTAATTTCGTCCAACTTATCCAAAATAAATGAAAAAAAAACTTAACGAAAAGTGAAAACCTGAAAACACCTTGAAATTGAAAGAAAACACTTTAAAAACACATTAAAAATATTACCAAAAGCACTGCTATAATACAATACTGCCTGTTTTATACACAAATAACAACACGGCATCCCGTCCAAATAATTAAATAAAAAACAAACGCAGTCGTACACTAACGGAGACCAACTGGAGGCTAGCCTCTAACGCTATAATTTCTGCGACAGAAATTAAAAATCGCGACGTATGTCGCTGGTTGGATCGATCTCGTGGAGCCTGTGTTTTTTAAAGCGGTCGGAGGCTTGGCACCCTTGCAACGTATGGCATTTATTATTTCGGGTTGATGGTTTTCTCGTTATTCGTTCATGGGCGGTGCTTCTGAGTTTTATTGATGCAGGATACAGTGTGGTAAGTACTACGTAGTGAGTGATGTTGTCTTTTCGGGCATATTATGTATTTATATTAAAAATTAATGGTAAAGCAACGATAACCAAGCAATTTTAGAAAAAAATAATCATAATTATTTGTCAATATCTTTTAATTTATTGCGATAAATAGCCTCAAATTTTATGGGGAGTCTAAGCTTCCCTTGAAAGCTAGCACATGTATATTATATCTGGTGGGTGGCTACTTTGAAGGGGACAAAATAGAAATTGATGAATAAATAAATATTTTTTGAGAAAAATTAAAATTCATTTTATTTTCATTAGGGATGATCGCAAAATCGCAAAGAGCGGGAAGGGGGTATAGTTTTTTATTAAAAATCCAATTTAAAATTAAAAACGATCAGCATATATCAAACTCACGATTCAGTTGAACAATTATTGGCAACTTTCAAAATAAATAATGAAATAATAAACCATAGGCGTAGGTGGTATCTATAATTTTAACACCGATATGTAATTACTATTTTTTCTTGACTTTCTTTTTGAACTCCGAACGCATTTCAAATTTTTTCAACAATATTAAAATGTTCAATCCTCATTATTGAAGTGAAAGATATATTAAAAGTAAAAGTTTGGTTTATGAATTAACCAACACTGTTGTTTATGAAGAATGAAAGAACCAAGTAGACTTACAGTATACTCGTATATACAGTTCATAACAGATAATCGCAAATTATAATTAATATAAACTAAAAAATAGTTTACTAATCCTCAACTCGCCTACTATGATGATAGTCATATGGACCGAAATGGTTGATAATACATTAAGTGTGATACATGGTTAAATGCAGGATAGAATCAATGGCTTCAAAATGGCGGATAACAACGCAGCCGACTTGTGACCAGTCAGACAAAAACGTGTTGTACAGCGATAAAACCACTAACTATTGTGAATATCGGTTCAATCTCAACTCTAGGCCGATGGATATTTATTTTACTCATTTTAAATGTTTGGTTTATAGTGGCCACAATCGTGGATCGTTTCAGTGAGTAGGCCCTTTACCTATAGGTAAGTCTCTCATGAGCGTCTCGTGTATAATCTAGGACTAATTCCTTCCTAATGATGACTTCCTTTTTGTACTCGCCAATAAACAATCACGTGGCCCCTTTCACCAATGTGGGACTTTCCACATTCACAATATATTCCTTGGAACCTCTGTTGACGTTTGTCCGGCTAGGTCTTCATGACATTGCTGTGCTTTGGGTATACGAATCTGAAACAGGTTAGATCTAAGTTTTCTGATCTTCTTCAATAGTCTTTTCATAACACTGAATCCCACGCCTTTTTTTTTCTTGGTCAGTCCCCTGTAGTCTTCTGATCAATTTTTGTTCTACCAACTTATTTCATTTTCCTGGAGACCTCTCTTGATATAGTCCTCTTTCTTATTGGGACCTTACTTTTTGTTGCAAAAACCAAATGCAAGATCAATCATTGTCTTAGTGACTCAACTCTTCCCAGATGGGCAGCTGTTGGATTCATAAGTCTCTCTTTATGTACTCTATTGGTGATCTTATACTGTTAAGTGGTGCAACAAGTGACAATGACGTTTCTGTTGGCCAAATAATATGAAGAAATTAGTTCTCAGGAGAAAGCAGTCATTTTGATTACAAGATATTCATCCTCCAATATCCACTTCCTTTCGTGTTGTTAGATTACTTTGCATATTCTTGACGATTCAGTTATTGCAATATTTTTTTCAACTAATTCATTTTCATTTACAGATAGTATTATTTTTCAACGATTAAGTCCCGATACTATACCAAATTTAATTGAGATGTATTTGATACAAATCAGGACTGAATGGTTTGAACTCTATCTTTGAAAAAAGTTCATTTTGAACTTGATTGCTATCTTCCTTCCTTTAGAAGTTTTACACATATTTTGTATAAAGATGTTGAAGTTGTTGAAAACAATATTTAGATAATATGAAACAATTTTTGGATAAGGCCTGGAGTTAAAATTCAGAGGTGGTCAGAGTTGAAATTATATTCATATTTCATTACTAATTTGAATACCTCTCAAGATATTTTGAAAGATTTTGAATAAATTTACCAAATAATTTTTTATATAAAAAATGGTCAGGATGTTTTTCCCAGAATAGATTTTTGAATATAACTTACTCAAGCAAAAAACATACAGATTGGGTCAGAAACGAAGTGAGACACAGTGTATATACAAATTATTCAAATGGACAATGAGTTGCAGATTGAAGGAAAAAAACAGTGAAGTGTATAATTATATAAGGATATAATCTATAGAGCAAAATTGGAATATGAATATCATAAATAAAAAGGTGAACTTACATTAAATTAAAATTACAACTAGCATCACATGAAAGTTACAAGATAATCTAAGAAATGTCATATACTTTTAAAATGAAAAAATATTTCCAATATCATAAAAACTATACTATCAAGAGATAGAAGCTGGTATAATCCAAGCATGTAGCATACTTTGAAATAAACTAGTCATTATGTTATCACTCTACCAAATAGTATTTTTTTGTAACTTTTGTTTATAAATTAGGGAAATGCTTTTTCCCTGTATAACGTAACTTCTAATGAAGTATCTTTTACTCATTTCAGTTCTAAATTTCAGTTTTCATAACCACTAGAGCTGATACACAACAAACTAATAGAATAAAAAAATGTATCGATCATCATTTGAAATATTTCCAAAATTGGCAATCTTCACAAAGTCAGGTGATTTAATATTCAATTGAATAAATTCATGAATATATTGAAAATAAATAAACTTGAATTTTGAAAATTTTTATTCAGGATGTTTCTGGTAATGTTTTTCAAAATCAGTATTGAATATGAAAGTAGCATATAACGATAGAAAGATGAATTTGTCAACCATATTCTGCAAAAATATTCATCAGGTTTGTGCGAGTTCTGAAACCTGTCAATTTGAATGAAGTAAAAAGACAATTAACTGGATTCTAGTATTTTATTTCATTTCTGTCAATTATTAATAAGTTGATAATAAAAGTTTATATATTTAATATCACCTTATATTAAAAAATCATCGACTCCGTAGACCGATAACAGTTTAACCATTTTTTTTTGTAATTGTGGGAGTGTTCATCGTGAAATTTTCATATTTACGCTTGAATATTCAATGGAAAAAATTGATCTAGGTATTTTAAATGATTACTCAAAATTTGTGAAGTTTTCTTCCAGTTGTTGAAACTGATTTTTGCCAGTCTCTTTGAGGAGTGCAGCTTGTCTTTTCAACTTACAGCAAATGCCAAAATTAACATAAATTGGTTACATCTCATAAATAATTACTTAGAATGTTAGCTCTTGACTTTTGAAATATTGTCTTATATTCTTATTAATAATTAATAAGAATATAAGAGAAAAGGGCCTTCAAACACATAAGAATATTGAAACGTCAATATGCCAACTGCCAATGCCAACTGAAATATTTATATACCAGAGGCATAAGTAGACATTTATAGCTCAATTTCCTACAATGTGTATATGATTAGTAGCGACTAAGCTATTTTTTCTGTAAAATTTGGAGTTTATCTGCCCTTCTTAACAAAGTTTGGGAGAAATCAAAATATAATGAGATAAGATTTACTGAACATAACCCAAATTTGATCTTCTATTCAAACTTATAACCAGGGAGTGAGATGATGAACAAAGTAAAATGCAATTATTTCAAAAAACTGTGATTGACTGGATCACAAAGTGGAAAATCATCAGGAAAGAGCTGGTACTTCATGTCCATTAAAGTGGAATTTACTAATTGTGTATGTGCTTTTTGGAATCCTCTAAACATAATAAATATAAATAACTTTCAACATTTATACTTATTCTTGGGTGTTATCTTCTCCCTCAATTATAATTTCTTCTGGATCTGGAGCTCTAGGCAAAAATTCTAAATCCGGGTATATTTGTCTGAATATTTCTTTGGCTTTATCAACAGACATGTCATAATCTAAATCAAGATCTGGTCCAGGACACAAAAACACATTTTCAGGTACTCCCACCCTCAAATTACAATTGCTTGTATCTGAGAGTGAAAAATACGAGGACCATAGGACAACTGGTTTCTGATCAACTTCTAGGTTTTCTTTTTGACTATGAAACACAAATAAATTTTCGATAACATGTTTGAAGTCTTCTTCTGGAGAAGTATTCTGTTTAGAAATCAAATGAACAACAAATAATTTTTTTGGGCAGGTACCTGTTAAGCTTCCCATTTCAATAAGAGTAACAGTGCTCTTATTTTTTTCAGGAGGGTAAAATAATAGTGTTAAATGCTCCTTTTCACTCTTCATAATTGATCTATCAGTTATAAAAACTCCCCTTGAAATATATTCTTTTTTTATGGACTTGACAAATTTTTCAGGGGCCTTCTCTATACCCATCACCAGATAATCAGCCTCAATATGTTGTGTACCAACTACTAGTGACTTGAATTTATTATCAGATGTTACGAAACCTGATAGAGGTTGACTTAGAGCAAATGTACCTCCAAATACTGCACTTAATCTACAGAAAGCTTGTGTTATTTCACCACTTCCATACATAGAAAACAAAAAGGGTGTTTTACCAAATCGTCCAATACTATTCAAAAATCTCTTTGCATTTTCAACTCCCTGATAACAAGGTGTCTCATCAGAACTCATTGAAATTGCATAGAGGACGTAATGAATCAAGTTTGGAGTCAAACCCTTATCACTCAAAAAATCTTTGAAAGTTTTATTTTCATACTGCTTCACTTCCTCTTCGGCTTCGTTCAGGGATGTCAGCAACTTCATTAGTATTCTTTTTTCAACAACGGTGACCTTGGTGTTGGAGAACACATCAGATCGGGAACATGGAACAGCTTCCAACTGACCATTGTACCAAATAAGGATTCTGCTGACACTTCTATATTCAGAATATCTAGCAACATTTGAGGATATAAGCAAATCTACAAATTTCCCTCGAGCATATTGTAGTTTTGGTGAAAGATCAAGATTGAATTTTCGGGACTCTTTCAGTAAATTTTCCTGACACCAGTCGTCACTTGAATCAAGTTCTACATCAGAACCTTTTTCATTGTTATCTTCACTGGATATAGGTGTCAATTTATCTGGTACATGCCATTCTATTTTGAAATTTTCAATATTGAACATTTGGTTACCAAATGATAGCATGTCTTTTTGACTTGTTTCATCGGGATTTTCTTCTGCACCAGAAATGTTTCCAATTTTTGTGAAAGCATCCAAATTGAAAGAGGCCCATTGTCCCCCATAATAATCATTTTTGTCAATCTGTAGTACTTTCTTTCCTACCCGACTTGCAGCTGCAGACAAAATCGATTCAATAACGCCAGTTCCCACAATTATTATATCAAAATTTTTAGGAAATTCGTAATCCATCTTGGCACAACTTTTCTTGACAGTTTCTTATTTTACCTTTAGGGTTTTACACAATTTCAACATATTTTGTGAACATATGTTAATGACAACTTCTACGGAAACTTCTTTGAATACTTTTAACGGCAATATTACAAAATAGATTACGTTGTAAAAGTAAAAAAGCAAGGCGACAAATAATGTATATCTGCAAATCTCATTAAAAAATTGATTAGGAAAATCGGAATTACAGACCGAGTCGAATTCACATCACAGAACTCAATCAAGTTCTGCGATTAACATTTGGCATATGACAGTCGATAAATGTGTCAATATACTGTACCAAACTTTGGCTGCTTTGGCGTAAAATTATTCGAATTTGTTCGAAAATATTCTATGTATTTAGTGCCTTCATGTATATTAGTGCCTTCATGGGCATAATAATTTGATCAATATTTGAGCAATGGTATTAATCGAAGTTATATGTCAATATTTAGCTTCACAAGAGGTAGTAAGAAGTAGTCAGAACATATATGTACTCAGAAAACATAACATCAGTTGCCAGTTGTGAACAATGCTAGGATGCTGTGATGTGATATGATGTTTTCGGTAGCCTGGTGGTTCGACGTGGGTATTCTGTTCACTGTCAATCGGCCGATGTATGAGTCGATGGTTCAAGCCCCAGGCTGAGCGCTTGATTTTCACTTGCTATCGTCCAACCCGTGTTAGCGATTACACGTTCAAAGGTAAGACCTCGTTAGTCCTTGGGTCGCACAAGTTTTGACTTCTGAGGGTTGTCGTTCGTACGGGTGCGATAGCTGGTTAACGGAAAAACATATCTTCAACATATTTTTTTAATTTGAAGAAATCGACTACAATAAAACAAAACATGAAAAGTGATCACACACAATTATCAAAATTTCTTATTCATAAAAGGTCCCAAAATATCCAAGTGTAACCTGCTCCATGGTTGAGTAGGCCATGGCCACGGGTTCGAAATTCCTTTTTCAGGCGACTTTTCAATAAACAATTTTTGCAAGTTTCACAAGTCACTTCAATCCTGGCAAATAAAAATAGCAGCGCACAAGACTCTCCATTTTTTCTACATCCGAACTTTCCAGTATTTTTCTATGTAATTCATTATGCATGGCGATTCTATTATAACATATTCAAAAATCTGACTTGATAGTTAAATCATTCCGTATTTTACATGAATTGCGGAAATTTTCATCTTAGATAAACCTGAAAGCCAACCATATCTAACAAAATTTAGGTTTATGTTTTCTTGAGAAAAGTTTGTGGTAAACGTGACAGCATATCGGCTGGATTATTTTTTGAATTGACTACTTCAGTGTGTCAACTGGAAAGAATTATCGCCTATCTACGTAATTTACATGCAGAAAACTGCGGGATATTTCATTTGTAGGCTTGTTGTCCGTTACCGATGTGAAATGTCAGCTATATGAAAAGGTATGGAACTTAATTGATCCGAAAATTAACCGCTAGTCCTACTTTCTCTGACAAAATTCGTGAAGCATGAAATATTACTTTTTCTTTACCATCTGAAATTATATGTGCTAACCGCACCTATCCTGTATTCAGTCGGCGTCCGTAACCAATCGTAATCGTTGTAAACAAAATTCATGAATGCAAGTTACTGACTAATTGAACTCTTCACTAATTTACATTACACAGTAATTTTTTTGGGTGAGCTTTTTCAGTTTGCCTTTTTTACGCTTCAGCAAATTCTCTATTGATTTAGCTTCGTTAATTTTTCAAATTGTGGATTATGAACTTTACTTCATGATTTATTTAATTTTTAAGATAATAATCACATTCAAGGACGAGCATTTTACAAAGTAGTAGCCTTACAAAAATAATTTGCAAGAAATTTATAATTTGCAAGAAATTTGAACATCTTTATTTCAATTTCAATCTTACTTTCGAAGAAATAGAATTTCTACGATATTCAAAACAACTAATAACTGTCTTTAAAAAAACCTGTTTATAATCTGTTTTTCCGGTAATCAGCTGTCGCCCCCATACGAACGACAACTCTCAGAAGTTGAAAAACTTGTGCGAGCTGAGAACTAACGAAGTCTTTCTTACCTTTAACCGTGTGATGCCTAACTGATATTAAAAAATGGTGTCCAGAGTGGGTTTCAGTTCCATTTGAATTCAATAGAAATTATTGATGTTTCATGTTCTACACGAAAATATTTATCTATACATGTGAATGCATATTCCAAAATTCTATATCAATAATTTTTATTATGATTCGAAAGGTCGTAAGAACGATTACCACACCAACCAGATATTTTTCTCGTGAGAATGTATTTAGTTGAAGTTGGGATGATTCTGCAACGTTATATGGCTGATGGACTGTGAATAGCCACGATGCTTCTTAGGTGGCTCAGGGAGATATTGACATTGCGTTCTCAGCACACGAGGTTAATGACCAAAGTAGAAGATGTCATTACAAAAAAAAATGATGGAAAAGAAGTATGAGTGTCAAAATATTTGAAATTTCTCTCTAAGCATTCATGGCCTTTGCTTCCATATAGGCGCGTTTGTTCAGAATTAGACATTTTAAAAATGTCTCTTTATTATTTGATAAACGTGAGATTATTTTTTGGTATTGAAATATATGACTGTGAAACATTCGTTCAATGGCCAATAAAACGTACTTACATTAGATATGCCCTGTTCGGAGAAAAATAAAGTTAACACTGGCAACGCCTACTTCGATTCTGTATTGTTTGGCGCTATTATGTTTTTTTGATTCGTAGAAATTGCACGTGTTTTAGTATTGACATTTTGCCTATTATATTATTTCTTTGTTGTGTTACTTTAAGCACAGATTAAGAATCCTTTAAACTATTCTAAACGAGAAACATTAGTTTATTATTTCACCCAGTTAGTTTAGTTATGACTGACAATAACGAAAATCTTCCCAACTCCTCACAAGATCTTCCTGAATTGGGAAGACTTGTTTCTTGTATTTCTACTTTGGAAACAGTTGGTAAGCATTTCATATGTTTTTAATGTTGAAAGACGTCATTGAGAAAATTTGATGATTTTGGTTTGATATTGAAGAAAATTGAAGGTCAAGGAATTCAAATTGCTTCTTATATTTTGAACCTGGATATATCTACGGGGATGTGTCCAGAGTGTATTCCTATTATTACAAATATAAACACTCACAATATTGAATTTTATAATAGGCTCCCATGAATTTGATAAATACAATAAATTTAATAAATTCCTGTGGGAGTACCTAGTAACAGTCATTTTGCATGCATTCATATTTTTCAAGTTCTCTTGAAGATATTTTCCTGTTGAGTATCTAGTGATGAATCAGATATTGGTATTTAGATAAGTACCTATATCTCAAGGAATGATTAATAGGTATTTGCTTCTCTAATGAATTTGTTGATCCGCTCTTTATTTAAGACTTCTGATTTCTTTACTCTATAACCAACATTCTTCTTTTGAAGAAATGCAATAACCTTTGGGAAAGTTGCTATTTTCTCATGTTTTTTCACTCAAATGGTACTTTTTAATTATGGTACATGCTCCACAAGGTAGAGGATTTGACAGTTTCAGATTTTTCCTCCAAATAAGCCAAAATTATATCCTCTATAATAGTATATCCATCTATTTTGAGAAAAAATCATAAACGTTTTCATACCTGGACTTTGATTTTTCAGACAATAATTGTGTTATGGCAGCAGATGATGCATTAGAAATTTCAAATGCATATTTTCAAACTCACTATCGCTGCTGCTTTCTATAGTTTATTGCGATTATTGCAAACAAAACCATGCCAACTTTCAAAAATCAAAATGTCGAATAGCTGCCAGTTATTATTCTGTTGCTATTGTAATGTTCAACTGAATTTATCAAAACCATACCTTCTAAGATTTTCATATTTACAGTGACAACAACGAAAAATACTACTTTCTCAAAAAAAAGTGTCCGAAAAGTGGGTACCTCCTGGAGGGTTGGCAAAAACACATTTTCCAAACCTCCACTAAGCACCAGATGTAACAAGATTACAATCATCTCTAAAAACTATACACGTTTAATATATCTGAGGAATAGTAACCTATCAAAGCAGTATACCTGCATTGATTAAGGAAAACATACTGCCGTAATTTCTAGGATATTTCAAACATCTTATAGTGAAACTAAACTTATAATTGAACTAATACACATGTACAAGGTATAATTTTAAACATAATGAAGATTTAAATTTTATCACTCCTAGATAGATATTTCATCTTTTTATTTGAGCCCTTCCTATTTTACTTACTATTCATTTTTTTTCAGTCATCAGGAAAGAACCATTCAAAGTTGGTAGATCATTACATTGTGATTTAATGATCGAAAAACAAAATGTTGAGGGAAATATTCTGAATAATATCAGCAAAGTGCATTTTGTCATCACTAAAAATCCAAACAGTTCTGTTTTATTTATAACAGACCTCAGTAAGAACGGAACATATATATGTGGTACACGTTTGAAGAAGTCTGAAAAGAAAGAATTGAAAGATGGAGATGCAATTGCTATTGGTCAAAAAAGTTATAACGGTATGTATCAATACAAAGAATAGAATAGAATAGGTTATTTTTTTAGAATAGAATAGTTTATTAACTACGTTACATTTTCATGTTTGTAGCAAGTCAGGTGTATAGGCATTATTAAATAAACATATTAAACAAAGAAGTAAATTGTAAAAATGTAAAAATATTAAGCAATGCAGTGGTTGCCTATGTACATATATGAACAAATAAATATTTACCTTTGATAATAGATGTATTTACAAACTACCACAGTACATTCGATACCGGTGAGTATGTTTCATCTCGAGTAGACATAGCTGACGTGAACTTGCCTAAAATGATCGTAGTATCCCGAGACTGAGTAGAAACATTGGTTGAGTAGCATTTCCTTGATGGCTCTTTTCAATTTGGTGATACTAAGCTCTTTAAAGTTAATTAGCAGAGAGTTGAAAAGATTGTAATCAACAGAATTCATTTTTGATCTAGTCTAAAGATAACGGCATGTTCTTACCTTGTCTGCATTTCTCGTGAAGTGTTGGTGTATGTCAGACTGTTTCTCTAGCAACTGAGCATTTTTTCTGATATCCAGTAGCGTCTGATAAATATATAATGTTGGCAACGGTATTCTATGTAATTTTTTGAATAATGGTCTACGGTGCTCCCGGAAACCTGCACTTGCCAGTATTCTTACAGTTTTTTTCTGTAGTTTGAAAATTCTCATCGAACCAGGAGAGTTCCCCCAAAGAACAACACCNCATTTACCGATGTAGGGGTTACAAACAGAATAACAAATCCAATAAAGAACCCACTTCATAACTTTATTTTAAGTGGGCTTTGAGAAAAAAATAGGAAAAAAATTACATTGTACAATCAAAGGATAACAGAATTATAAAAGTGACAGACACCACAGACATTATCATAACTTATCAATGAAGATTTTTTCATCCTGCATTTGAAACAGTCTAAAGAGATTTCAAAATATTGAATATTGTTGCAAAAATCGTTGACGATTTTAAGCATTTTATAAAGTGGTGAATTTTGAGCAACATTTGTCCTTGTACAAGTTAATTCTGTATGCTTTAATGTTCTACCCCGAACATTGAACTCTATTTTTGAATCCTCACATAATCCACAAAAGATACTGGAGAAAGCTCAATCCTGGTTCACGCCAAACGATTTGATTCTGAATGAACAAAAAACAGAAACACTCATTTTCAAAATAAACTGCTCCAAACATGATAACTAAAGTCCACTAAATTTCTGGTACGGGTTGATTCCAATTTGAAATGGATAGAACATACTGATAATATGAGCAATGAACAAAGTAAGTCAGACAGTTCAATAATCTGTTAACAAAAAATCTTAAATCTGCATTTTACAGAAAGTCTATATTTTACAAAGGAATAATTGCATATATTGAATTACCAAAAGACGTTAAACAATTTTCCAACACAGAAAAATTCGAAATAGCATTAAATAACTATTTGTTTTATTGATTTATATTAATATTTGTTTTTTTTTTGTTATTAATGAGACCAATTCTGAAATCGCTTCCTCTGAAGTTATATATTTATGTATGAATATTTCTTGTCCCAACCATTGTAGTTTTTTGAGAATAATTAAACGAATAAGAAAATAATCACCCTATCATTTGCTTCTTGTTCAACATAACTCGGAGAATGTACACCATCATACGAGAAATAAATCAAACCTTGTTTCTACAGCTAATAGGATGAAGATAACAGATTATATAGGAATTAGGCTATACAATGCATTGCATGTTGAGTCTGACTTGCCATTCAGAAAATTCGAAAGATAGTTATAATCCTCCTGAACATTTAGTAAGAGTGCCCCATTAGCTTGAATTCAAGGCGCGTTACCTCAAAATATGCTAAGCAAATATTTTAAAATGTTGAGCAAACATTCTAAAATAGGATAATTGAATATAGTTTTTTTCTTCTTTCCAAATCAATAGCATGAATTTTGATAAACCTTTTCAAGTGTAATTTTCCTGTTTTGTTGATGTGAAACATGTTTGACATGAACAAAATTTTACTGAACATCTCAATATGGTAATTATATTTCAAGATTCAAGTATTGCATTTCAGTATTCACATTTCGATCAATCGAAGATCTTCCTGACACTGCAACTCCTTTGAAGTTGTCGGATTCTCTAACTCCCGAGGAGCCAACGAGAGTATTACCATGGGGCCGCCTTATTTCCTATATCATGTATCTGGATTCATTCGGTAAGAACAACAAGCATTTATATATGCGTATTGAACTCGGAGACATGTTATAGTTAATAAATGTATTTGTAATTATTGAATTTTCTGCCTCCAAATTGTTAGTATACAGAATAACATCTTTCAGTGCCCTGTAAATGAATGACTGATCATTTTATTGTACTAGTGGAAATTTACACTATACTTTATTATTTTGCTCAAGTAATCGGGAAATAAGTTATTATGCATTTTATATGTATATATAAGTGTCATTAAATGTACTTATGCCTTTATTCGCCGTATACCAGTAAGCGAAGGTTAAGGGGTAAGCTCGCTTAACGCTTCAGTTTTGTATGCACTGTATCCACAAACGCCTTTAAGTTCGCTTAAATGTAATCAGCCAAATTCGGTGGCTTTATATGTAAAGCCAAGCTTATGTAGACATCAGAACCTCACTTTTTATTCTTTAGTTTTGAAAATAATCTATGTGTCGTTTTGATGAAACGTTTCATTAAACGGGCTTGTGAAATTGAAATCAGGATGATGGATCTAGAAGATGAAATAATGCTGAAAGCCTATAATAGCATTTTACATATTATGGATTTTGGATATCCACGAAGAATTTTTAGGAGGCCCAACTATTTCGAGGTGATAGATGATATGGCCTTCTATAGAAGATTCGGACTGACCAAGCTGACAACACTATATGTGCTGGAGCTATCCACTAGGACTATACACATCCGTCTTTCAGTCCGAAGTGTATGCTATCTTGCAGTGTGCAAGGCTTATTAAATTGAGACCTCAAAGAAATGAGCGGATCAATATTTTTACAGACAGCAAGAGCGCACTAGGGGCTCTGACAAACCCGAAGGTGACATCAAAACTGGTCTGGGAATGTCATGAAGAACTGAATGAACTTGCAAACAGGAACAAATTAACTTTGTACTGGGTGCCAGGGTATTCAGGAATCACAGGTAATGATCAAGCTGATGAATGCGCTAGACGCGTATTATCAACTTCATATATAGGTCCTGAACCAGCTCTGGGGTTACTAAAATCATTTGTACGAAACCAGATTAAGACATGGACCAATAAGAAGCCCACAGAGTACTGGACAAAAGTACCTGGCAACAAACACAGTAGAACCTTCATTAGGGAACCGTCCTAGAAAATAACCGAAGAACTACTTCAATATAAAAGGGATCGGCTCAGAATAATTACAGGGTTACTAACCGGTCATTGTCCGCTTAGAGGACACCTGAATAAAATGGGGCTGTACAACAGAGACCTCAGCTGCAGATTATGCAACGAAGGGATAGAAACAGCTCTACACATCTTATGCGAATGTGAGGCACTGAATAACAGGAGGCAGGTAATATTTGGACGTACAAAATTACGCCCAGAAGAATATGACGAACATCCAACACGGAACCTGTACANTACGTAACAAGTCCAGAAAATACTGTTTCTTGGACAGGTAGACAAAATTCTAGTACGAGCCATAGGCGAGTTCTGGAAGTCTGCGAGTCCAAAAACCTTCCAGCCACCCTCTCTCTTCAAATTCATAATGTTTCTACCATTATCAACAAGTAATGTCACTGAAATTCGACTAATGCTATGGCCTGTTTAATTTTTAGAATTTGATAAATTTGAAAATTCTGTCATTCTTAATAGAAGAATGCCAAAACTGTGGATAATGTTTGATTCTGGAGAATCAAACATTATTCTTTTTTGAAATTCACAAATGATCTGGTATGTCGAGTATGGGATGACCTAAAGATGACCTAAAGATAAATATTCCCTATACAACAGCAGGTTTTCTTGCTCGAAAACAACAACAGTTCTCTTAATATGTGTTTTGGAATTTGTTAGTTTCACAAGCAACTTGTCTTCTTTGCCGTTTATTAGATCAATTAACACTTTCGTTAGTTCTTCTTGTCTACAATACCTGCTGACCTAATAATTGTTGTTACCTGAAAAGAAAGCAAATTAGCTTGATACTTTTATATTCTACAATTGTAATAAGTATTTTGTTAAAGTTACCTTCAGCATTAGATATGTTTCAATAGGTATTTGCTTCCCTAATGAATTTGTTGATCCGCTCTTTATTTAAGACTTCTGATTTCTTTACTCTATAACCAACATTCTTCTTTTAAAGAAATGCAATAACCTTTGGGAAAGTTGCTATTTTCTCATGTTTTTTCACTCAAATGGTACTTTTTAATTATGGTATATGCTCCACAAGGTAGAGGACAGTTTCAGATTTTTCCTCCAAATAAGCCAAAATTATATCCTCTGTAATAGTATATCCATCTATTTCGAGAAAAAATCATAAACGTTTTCATACCTGGACTTTGATTTTTCAGACAATAAATGTGTTATGGCAGCAGATGATGCGTTAGAAATTTCAAATGCATATTTTCAAACTCACTATCGCTGCTGCTTTCTAAAGTTTATTGCGATTATTGCAAACAAAACCATGCCAACTTTCAAAAATCAAAATGTCGAATAGCTGCCAGTTATTATTCCGTTGCTATTGTAATGTTCAACTGCATTTATCAAAACCATACCTTCTAAGATTTTCATATTTACAGTGACAACAACGAAAAATACTACTTTCTCAAAAAAAAAGTGTCCGAAAAGTGGGTACCTCCTGGAGGGTTGGCAAAAAAACATTTTCCAAACCTCCACTAAGCACCAGATGTAACAAGATCACAATCATCTCTAAAAACTATACATGTTTAATATATCTGAGGAATAGTAACCTATCAAAGCAGTATACCTGCATTGATTAAGGAAAATATACTGCCGTAATTTCTAGGATATTTCAAACATCGGATAGTGGAACTAAACTTATAATTAAACTAATACACATGTATGTACAAGGTATAATTTTAAACATAATGAAGATTTGAATTTTATCACTCCTAGATAGTTATTTCATCTTTTTATTTGAGCCCTTCCTATTTTACTTACTATTCATTTTTTTTTTCAGTCATCAGGAAAGAACCATTCCAAGTTGGTAGATCATTACATTGTGATTTAATGATCGAAAAACAAAATGTTGAGGGGAATATTCTGAATAATATCAGCAAAGTGCATTTTGTCATC